TTTTAAGCTTTTCTTTTCTTTTTTTTTTTCTTTTTTATTTTTTTAAGAGTTGCTGCTGCTAATTTGCGCCCCAGCCTCAAGATGCATCCAGAGAGACTAAATGTGGCTGTGATTATCCTGTTTACTTTGTCTGTAAATATTTATCAAACTTCCTGATTGTGGATGACGAGAAGAGAATTAATGCCAGTCTGATGGTGGGCTGGGAAAAAAGTCACTTTAAATCGTCCCGTTGTGCTCTGTAATTTTTATTGTTTGTAAACACATCATTCTAATTAGAACGTATTATCATCTCTAGGAATTTTCTATATTTCCTCCGTATTTTGTATTATATGGGGAAGCTATTATTGGATTGTAAAATCCACAGTGTGTCTGTCTGAGGGGAGAAAATGCTCTCCACATCAGAGATTTCAATCAACCTGAATGGCTAACATGGAATTAGTCCTTCCAGCCTCGTCAGCGGCTAATTATGTTCACACATCACTTAAATACAATAGCTCCCGTGAAATCCTCATTCCGGCACCATTTTCACGCTGGAGATCATACAGTCGGGATGGGAAGTCGTTTTCCCCGCGCTACAGTGGGGCCAAGGTAAAATAACGGCGTCAGACGGACTCCACTCTGATTTCTCCAGGGCTTCTTATTTCTTTTAACTTCTCCATTCCATTTGATGTCCCCAGAAAACAAGATGACCCCGGGGAGCACAAATAAAAATGTGATAATTCTCTTCTGGTGAGCCCCCCCATTTCTGTCCTCTTTCAGCCTCGCTGCACCTTTCTGGCCAGCGGAGAATGACTGTCTCCCTCATATTCACCTTTTTGTCCTTCGTTCGTATTATTGTGCAGAGACGGTGGTTCTTCCTCTGCTCACACCTCCATCTGACTTAATATAGCATAAGCAGTTGTGATGATGTTCTATTAACATTAATATTTGCTAAATGTTTAAAAACAAAAAATATTAATTACAACATTTAACCTTTATTATCTTAAGTTATCCAATATATGCATTAAAACATTTATAGGTATTTTTATGAAAATTATGGTGTTATAAAAGTGTCATGTTAGTTATATCTTAAAAACAATCTTTGCTGTTTTGAATTAAAACATACAGAGTAAATATCTGCTAAATTCACTTATCAATAGGAACTAATCTCGCGGAATACTAAACCTTTTGCTTTTTTTACTTCTGCATAGAGCTACACAAAGATGCTAAAAAGTTGTTAATTAATGTGTGTCTGCCACTTGAAACTTTCCAACTCTAGTTCTAAAACATGAATAACAGCAGTGTTATTCATGGCATAATTTATATATACAGTAGTATAGAAGTAGAATATTTCAGTTTTGCAGCCAGCTGACTGTGAGTGTGCAGCAGCAGGTTTAATTTCAAGCTTTTTAGGGAATTGAATGGCTTTTATTTAAATGACTATTTATTGATCCCCCCCCCCCCCCCTCCTTACACCGCATTATTTGTTTTGAACATCTAAAGAACCAGTTCTCCTAAAGGTCGTGGAAAATAGCTGCTAACACCCTGCCTGGTTCTGTTGGAGGTTTTCCTCCCCACTGACCCCTCATGCATGCTCAATATGAGTTGCTTTATAGCTAGCAACTCAGTGGAGTTTTTTCAGACAAAAAGGCTTTTACGAACTGGAAAAGGAAACTGAACTTGACAGACTGAAATAAGACTGGATTCATATAGTTTAACTGATTATTATTTTCTGTTTATTACCTGGATCTGCTTGTTTTGTTAAAGGGCTTTATTTGGCATCTGTAAAGAGCAGGTGCTGCATTTGTAAAATACATTCAATAAATGTTTGATGGTTTTTGTGTTTGCATAGTAGAGCAGTGGAGGAACAGTTGGAACATTATGATTCCTTCATTTATACTCTTCCAATAATGTATCCATCTCCCATATGGTTTTCTCTGCACATGCAGTGTTTTCTGAGCTGCAGATGTTGCTGTATGTACTGGTAGCTGCTAACATGCCATAGTTTAGAGTTGTGCAGCTGTCTGTGTGTGAGAGTGTTTGGCCAGCAGGCCCGTGCTGGTACAGTATTTTGCCTCCAGTCACTCTGCAGCTGTGTGAAAATGTTCCACCTTTGAATGTTTATGTATGGGAGGCACCTGGAGAGCACCACACCTTCCTGAAAATTCATAAACGTCAGCTATTTCTGGCATCCTCAGCATGTCCTCTTTTTCACACCTTTTTCTACGGGCAGAGCAGATTAGAGCTGGGCTCTGCGGATCCCTTCAGTTATTAGCCGGCTCCGAGTCCCGTTTTAGGGACTATCTTTGGACGGTGATGTATTTTTGTGGATCATCTGGAGTTATGATGTTATCCGGGAGGATAAGGGAGGGCGCTGTGTGGGAGTGCTTTAAATGGCGACTGGCGTCCTCTGTTTGCGTTAAATGGGTACAATACAGCGGCCCAGGCAATATTTTACACTTAAAGTGCTCCCCCCGCCCCTCCACTCAATAGGCCCCTGTCTTAGGTAGATTTTCACTCCGTCAGTACAGGATTAAATGGTAGTAGTTACATTGATCAATAGGTTAAGAAGCATACAATCCCTCTTGCTGCTAATGACCTCAGTAGTAATGGGTAATAAAATGGGGGCGTGTAATAGTCTCTTGCAGGGGTTGCGTACAGAGGAAGCAGCTATGGCTGTAGTTAACGTGAACCAGACCCTCCTGACAAAGCAAGGTGGGAAACCAGGGTGGGATGCACACCTCAGTTGTCTGTAATGCTGAAGGAAGCATTCGGAAAGCAGTCGGTCGATTAGTTAGGGCTGCAGTGTCGATAAAAGTTTGGAAAAAGGATCAAATATGAGCAGAATCAAACATTAAAAAAACAGCAGTGTTATTTCTAATCCTCCAAATGTGCGCTGTGTGTAATATGACATATTGGACCTGCATGTCAGCCAGACAGGGCTGCTCCGTTGACCTTCAAAATAGTTCATCAAAATTAGTGATGCCGAGGAAAAAAGGACTTCAGTGGATAATGACTGTGAAATTGGGAAATGGGGGGGGGGCTATGCAAATGACAAGACAAGTCATGTGCAAAAGTCAAGATGAACTGCATATTAAGACGTGATACAAGGGGGAATTAATATTGCATTCTGCTCCTTGCGCCTTTGTGCCCCGGCGCTGGAAATGAGAATTGTGGAGTGTGTGTCAGTCTTGGGTGGGGCCGGGCCGCGCTTCGGTTCTCCGGTGGCTGAAAGAACTCAGGCCGGTGTAGTCTGGCACGGCTCAGCATCAAAGCTGCTCCTTCCTGTGTGATATCACCGCTCATTACGGCGCAGCTTCGTTTTTGTTTAATACTACACTGAGAAGAATAATTAAGGTTATGTGCATGTCAGAAAAAAAGATCTTTTAACAGCTAAATTCCACTCAGAAATGCATGAAGGGCTGTCATTAGTGCTTATATGGCAGCAAAATATGGGTTCCTTCATGACGACGGGCCGTCAGCATCAGCCGCTGACAGGAGCCTAGACATGCTCATGTACTTTGTGTTGCTGTCTTCATGCAAATGCACAATTGACACAAGCATCTAGTGCAAGTTCATCAGGCGAATGTTAAGGTAAGGGGATTTTAATGGTGTTTCACATCACAGCATCGAGCAGCAGCGTCCCGACACACTCCGACTGCCTTATGTCGCTGGAGCAATTAAGGCCCGCTGACAACTGTGGACGCTCTCTCAATGTCACAACAAATCAGTTGTTTGGAGGAGTCGTGCACTCACACCTTTCCTGTGAGAGTTAGAGGCCTGTGTTCTTCAGCGCGGCTCCTCCTCCTCCTCCAGGCGATCTGCGCCTTTAAAACAGCACCTCAGTGCTGACAGCATCTCTAATGAGATAGTCGGACATGACACGGGGAGCCTGTGCAGTGAGTGAACCACAGAGTTTTTGACGCAATCACTCACATCCGGTATCAGCTTCTCAGAGCTGTTATCTTGTGTTTATGTACCACAGTTTTGAGGTATGGACACAAAAAATAAAAATACATAACAACTTACCACTTTTATCAAAAAATATATATACTAAAATGTTTAATTTAATACCAATAGTATTTTTTTTCTTATATGGATTTTGATGCACTGATTTGACTCAAGAACATGTAGTTGTTTCAGTAATGGTTCATTTCTCATTAAATTTACCCATTTTATAGTATTCATGACTTTTTTCTGATTTGGTCTGTCATTAGAAATGTATAACATGCTAATAGTAGCTGGATAAGAGGGTTTAAAGGTTTTCTACTCTTTCATTTTTTTGTCTGGAAATATTTCCAAAGAAGTTTATGAGCTGAATAAAAATCTGGCACATTTAGCTGCATTAAGGAGTCAATTAATTAGTCATTTCAGTCCAACTGGGTAGAGGTCTCTTCCCTGCTAGAGTGGGAAATCCCCATAGCATGATGCTGCCGCCACCATGTTTTCAATAAGGAAAGAGCAGCCGCCTGTCAAAAGAAAGGTTGTAGGTTTGATTCCAGCCCCTGGTAAAGCACTTTACCTCAGGTTACCCACTGTTTTGAGGCGTATCAGGGTGCGAATCTGTGTGCTTGTGAGGCTGAGTGAATGCGACACCCTGTCAGTGCGACTAGAAAATAGCTACAGATTATACATTTAGTGTGACCATTGCATGCTGGCTGCCTTACAGAGGGAGGCCGGAGGGAACTACAGCACAAAGTGTGTACAAGTCTAAAGATGGAACTTCTGATAATACAGTTGTTATAGTTACGCATTGCTGCTTATCTCGTCTTTTTTTCCCCGTGGCCTTCTGTTAATTATTGACTGTATTTTTGAGCATGTATCATTTTGTGTTTAGTGGTTGGCTCTGACTCACGATTTAGTCAAAACATCCCTCTAGATGTGTTATGGCTTATTGATTTTGGATCAGTTACTTCCTGTAAAGTTCATTTTCAACCCTTTGCTAAAAGTTAGTGGCATTATTGTGCAGGTTATACATTTTTTAGCCTCTGACATTAATGTTTCCTCTCCTATCTGTGCAGGTTCCAGTGTCAGTGGCTATGATGACACCTCAAGTGATAACTCCACAGCAAATGCAGCAGATTCTCCAGCAGCAAGTCCTGAGCCCTCAGCAGCTCCAGGTCCTCCTCCAGCAGCAGCAGGCCCTCATGTTACAGCAGGTAAACGTGCCGCATTCAGTGTTTCCTTTTCTTTTTTTTTTCAACAATCACTGTCGTTTCTGTAGGATAACATTTTCTGAAACTCAAAGGTTGGGACTCGGAGAAACTTCCAACTCATCTGTCAATCCTTTTTGATTTCTTTGCAGCAGCAACTTCAAGAGTTTTACAAAAAACAGCAGGAACAGCTTCACCTCCAGCTCCTCCAGCAGCAGCAACATGCAGGCAGCAAGCAGAGCAAAGAGGTAAAGCTGACATCACCCCGGCCTACCAGACAGAGCATGGCAAGCATACGCCTGCTCTCTTAACTCCATCTGCTTTCAGGCTGTGGTTTGGAGCACAGACATGTGTGTGGTGGTGGTGGGGGGGCTGTGTAGGGTGCACTCATGCTTCTGATTAGCATGTCCGACTTTCTGGGTAAATGTTAACAACAGACTGATATGATGACTCTGGTTCTGAACTTGTCTCCCTGTTAAAAGTGTAACATTTGAGATGTCAGACTGCTTCAGACTCTTAGATTTTATTTTATGCTGGAGCCACACAGTGAAAGGCATTTCAAAACTTTACAGTTAAACTTCTTTTTTAAAGTGTAATTCTAAAACAGAACCTATAGTAGATCCGTTACAAACAGAGGGATATATATATATATATATATATATTTTTTTTTTTTTTAGTTTTTCCACACCTCCAGCTAAAGGAAAACCCCCAAATCAGTTAGAAATAAGTTTTTAAAACTGCATTTAGTTTGCAGATACATATCCATGTGCAGCACACAAACCCCTTATCCAAGCCTCCTATTGGATGAATCAATGGGGTGTGGTATGTAGGCTACTGAGGTGTTTTGGAAGCCCAGGTTGCATTGGTCACAGCATTTCATCTTCCTCTTTACAATAATCCTTAGATTTTTTTTAGGCATTTTGAGTGAGGCGCCTGTCCTGAAAGTAGATGTTTAATATTTATTTTCTGTCAAGCCTGGGTAAAACATCTGTGATGTCTCTTGTTCCAGATTTGCTTAGCACAAGAAATATAATTTGTGACTCATTTCTATCATTATGATTCTTACCCAAACTCTTATATAAGCTTTGCTTCACAATGAAAGCAGTGATTTTTTCCTTCCACTCAACTTTCCATTAATATGTGTGGATACAGCAGTTGGTGAACATCCAGCTCCTTTAGACATGACCTCATCCTCTCTGTAGGGGGAGATGGTGTCATACTCTAGTCTTCTGATAACTTTAAACTATATTAATCAAAATCAATATAAATCAACAAAATATATACTACAGTTAATACATTGATTTCCCTTTTAGAATCAATGGGTTTCGAGGTCATACAGTGAATTAGTGAGTTGTTGCAGTATGCTCTATTATTTATTCAGGTTTGTTTCTACCTAGGTGAATAGATTCCCACTAACTCTCCATGCTCCAACCTGCTAGAGACTTTATCAACCAAGAGGCTGAAGCTTTCAGGGAGTAGTGTGGACATTGTAATGATGTCAAATAAAACATAGCCGAATGAATAGTGATTTTCATAAAAAATCTACACGTGTATGTCTATCCTGTTATCTAGTACACAAGTGTCCTCCGCAGCCGAAGATGACCGTTCCTGTGTGCTGTGTGTAGGACATAATAAAAGCTGAAAACAGGGAGCAAATAAATCTGAGCTGCTTTTCTTGGTAATTAACATGGAAATGGCAGAAAGAGAGAGAGAAGGCATGTAATTTTGAGATATGAGTGCAGAGAGCGCTCCCAGCTTTGTTTTTTTTTTCTTCCCGATTTCTCTCCTCTGCTCCTCGCCTCACAGCGGGGCCTGCTCATAGGCAGCGGCTTAATGCGTGTTAATGACAGGCGGATACGGGGCGTCGCCGTGGACAAAGCAAATTATTACCGCGCGGTCAGAAGAAGTTCAAAGACGATCTGGGAATTTTTCTGAGTTCCATGTTGGGAGAGCTAAGACGTGCAGCTGGAAAATGAAGCCGAGCTCCACGCACGCGCAGCGCACGTCCGCATGCTGTCGAGGCGCCCCCAACTTCAAAGTTATAGCTCCCTAATTAATGAACTGCGGGCTTCAGTTTGGACAAGTTGCGGCGTGATGCTCCCATAAATCAACGTGACAGCGGCGCTCCTCGGCCTCAGATAAGGCCTGTCACCAACTCACATCTGATGTAAACACTAGCAGACCAAAAGGGGGGGTTGCAATTGATCAGTTGAATGGAGCATGAGCATAAAAGAGGGAAAAAAAATCTACTTTTTAAGCATATTATGTATGATCACAGGAAATGGATGCAGCCTCAAGAGGCTCTTCTCCTCTGCTGCTGTTTTCTTTCTCTTCCCATCGCTCGCTCTTTTTCACCAGCGTTTCTAGCAGCCATCAAAAGACAGAATAAGAATTATGCAGCGACTCCCCTGTGGCTGCCAGACAATAACCCCCTGTTGTTGCTTTGTGCCTCTTTTATTTTAAAGACATCAAAATTTAGTTTTTCAAAGATCTTTAACTTTATATTTGAAGCTTGACAATAAAGGGCCTGCCACTGCCACTCTTTATCATTTGTCAGGGGCTGTATTTTTCTCTCCCTCGTGCCACTTCTTGTTAACCTCTTATTTGGTCGATTGGGTTTGGGGGGGGGGGGTCTTAATGTGTCTGCATGCTGGGAGCGCACAGGAGCTGCTGTCAGCTGATGGGACTAAGAGAGGAAAAAATAGTGAAGGAGAGAGGGTTAAATTCATCTTGCAGTGCTTGATTTTTTTCTTTTCTTCCTCTTTTCTGCAGAGCCACCCTCTATTTATTTAACGTTTTGATGAAAGACATTGTTCTGTGTGAAGTCCCGCCCCCGTAGCTCTATTATCTCCATCTGAGGCTGTCAGGGAGGGAGGAGGTGATGAAACAAGAACAACTACAGACATAAGAAACTTCTCTTCCCCCTGATGGGAGGAGAAGAACCAACCATCTTTCAGAAACAGCAGAGATCAGAGAAGAGCCTTGGTTGCTCTCATCCTACAGGATGCACCTAACTTAAAAAAAAAGCACCTAACATGTCATTTCTGACCCTCCACCCTGGCACCCAGGAGCATCCTTCTCCTGAGTGATCCATTGAAATGAGCCCGTCGCTGTAATGGGCCGCCGCTTCCCAGGAGCTGTTTCTTTAGTCAGACAGAGGTGGATTTGAGGGTAGGAGGGATGGCAGAGGAACTGTTTGACCCTTTTGGCTCACAGAACAGGGGCGGGCAGAGAGGAACCCATTTCATCTGGTTGTTTCAGAGCCGCCAGTCAGCGACCTGTCTACCAGGCTGCACCGAGATCTTTTCTCTCTGCACTCAATTGTGAGAAGTAAACAAGGTGGTGTATCCTGTGTTTGGTAAAAGGGTGCGGTGCACAGCTTGGCAGCCACAGCAGGGCTTTTAGTGACCCCCCCAGGCTTGACAACTGGCCTTGTGTACTCATAAACAGACCTGGTATCCTGTTGAGTCTCAGGCAGGCTTATTTTGACGTTATCTGTAACACCGAAGGTTTTTCAGCTCATCTGATATTTAACACCAGGATTTCTGCAAGGTTAAAACAGAAAAAAAGTCATCACAATTTTACATCGTAGAAAGTCTAATTATATCACAGCTCTTTGTTAGTAATCTAGTTTTATTATCCACTATCAGGAAAGTGTGCAACCATGTGAAGCAATACCCATCCCCTTCAAAGACTTCTCTTTCATTTTGCTTTCTTAGTTATCAAAATATTTCAGATTATCTTTATAAATATAATATCAAACTAACCAGAGTTAATCTTCAAATTATTTCTATTAAAGACTCAATGCTTTCCAGACCAACCTGGCCCTCTGCTTGGCCCCTATTTATATTATGAACAAGAACATGTCATGGTTCTGTATTTTCCTTTTGAAACCCTTAGAAACTGTCTTTAGATTAATTCACCTAAACAGCACCTGTTTGACGACATGAAGCAGGCTAAACTATCAAATAAGAAACATTTATAATTCTGAACTAAAGTCATTCAAGAACGAAACACCAGTCTATGAAGGGTGACGATGATACTTCTAAGGGCTTTAACCTTTGAAAACTGCAGTGAGTCATGATCTAGAATGGCCTCTGTGTCAACTATAAGTTGTACAAATATAAAGATGAGGTTTAGGTTGCCACAACTTTTCCACCCAAAACAACAGTTTGGATTTTTTCCCCTTGCCATTAGATAATAAAATCAGAATTTAAAAAAATGCATCACGCATTAAGTTTATCCCTGCCGGTTAATTAACTTTATTTGATGATCTGAAAGATTTGAAGTTTGCCAGAAAAAAAAAAAAAAAGGTTAAATGCACATTAACATCTTGGAACTTCATATAACCTGTAAGAAAGACTGAAGGAAGAAAAATTTCTGTGTTGAATTTAAAAAACTTTGAAACTTTTGGTTCATATAATTTATTTAATGATCCTAAAAACTTCTAACGAACTGAAAAAACCCTTTTTTTGATTGAAGGAAAGGTTAAAAGTCATTTCTCCCCCCCAGTGCCTCTGTTAGCTAAATAGAATCTCTCATTTGTTTGGACTCGTATACGTTTCAGGGAATATTAGATAATTTCCTTCTATTTATTGTTCTATCTTGCCCTTTTTTTCCCTCCCTGCTTTCATATCACATTTTCATACCATCAATGTTTGCACGTTTCACTTTTTCGAGCCAAAACCTAACCTCTCCTTTAACCCCAAAGTGGGAGATGACACACCAGAACTTTATTAAATGGGTTTTTTTTGTCGGTGAAGCAGCTGCAGCCCAGCCAGATGAAGAAAACAGCTATCTCTCCGTCAGCGTGTGATTGAACACAGCTTGCCGCGCTGAGCTGGGGGAAGAGTGCATCCCCCAGCTCAGCGCCATGCCTGGGAGACTTGAGAGTTTCTAGGGTGGTTATTAAGCACTTTGATTTAGTCACACGTTGTTTGCTGAATTATGAATGGCTGTAATTAAATTCCTGTGGCTCTTATTATGAATGATTAACTATGTTGTTTCATTGTTTGTCATTTGCCTCCCGACTGCCGTTAATTAAGAGAGAGACAGGAGCAGGGTCTACCTGTCTGAAGAGGGCCCAGAAAAACTCCCTGTAAAGAGAAAGTCTATAAAAAGTTGTTTTGCTCTGTTTTGTGGAAGCGTGGAAAATTAACCTGTTTTATTATGAATCAACACCGAGACTCCAAAGTGTCACATCTACAGTGAACTTGGAGCAGCTTCAAAGTAGCGGTGTTCAGTATGTTTGTCTGCTTATAGTGCATGTCTGTGTGTTCTCTGTGTCTCCAGCAGCAGGTGTCAGCGCAGCAGTTGGCCTTCCAGCAGCAACTCCTGCAGGTCCAGCAAGTCCAGCAGCAACACCTGCTCAATCTTCAGAGACAAGGACTGCTCACCATCCAGCCAGGACAGACCGGCCTGCCGCTGCACTCGCTCACTCAGGGTCAGTACCTCACAGGCCTGGTGCCACTTCCAATTCCCCCTCCTTCAGCACACCGTAGCTCAACGTACCTCAACTAAATATAGGAATACAGCCGAGCCTTTTCTTTGGAGTTACAGAGCCAAACTGAAAATATAGTTATGAGACAACTGCCTTATGAAGAACTGATCCTGCAGTATACATATAGATTTATGGTCTATATGTATACTGCAGGGAGTCACAGCTAAAGCGGGAAAAGCTGACAAGATCATTGTTGTCAAAAAGAAACCATTTGTTGGAGAAAGAAAGGTGTAAGAAAACTTGTTTAAAGTTTTCCATTAGCAGTTTAGAAGACACAACAAGAAGATGCTGTAGTTAGATGGAGGCAAAAATGAACATTTTATCACCTGGAACAACCACCCCATCTCTCTGACATACGGTGGTGGCCGAATCATACTGTGGTGATAGCTTTCTTCAGAGGGGAGAGGAAAGGTTTCATGCAGAGGTAAAGAGCAGGATGTGGAAGCTATTCTAAGAGCCAGAGCTCCAATGGATGATTTAGATCTGTGGGATCAGATGGCTAAGTCAAAGCCCAGGCCGAGTTCATGGCAAACCCTTAATGCTGCTGGTGAGACGGAGCTTCAGCTGGATCCACAGATGTGCACAACTTACAGATATATCCCCCAACATCACGAATCCCAAAGAACATACAGATGCTAATGTGATTTTATAAACTTGGATGACCTGCCACTGTTATTTCCTTTTTACTGTTCTTGTTTAAATTTGCTTAAGGACAGAACAATGGATGACTTATCAAAGAAACCACATACTGACTCAGAACACACCTTCAGCAAATCTCCTGTTAATTATTGACCATTTTACTATACCGGGGAATATAAATAAGTTATAAATAAGTGAATAAATCTTATAACAGTTTCCCCCAGACATGCCTGCTGCTCGCATAGCTTCAGCTCTTTAAACCAGCTGTTTCATATCACCTGAGATTTTCATCTCAGCAGTGAGGATCTGTGTCCAGTGTCTGTAATCGGCATCCTCACTGAAAGTCCCCTCTATCAAATCAGACTGTGTCTATTGTTGGGAAACTGCCTGTGAACTTGTCGTTGTGAAACTGTTTGTTATTTGATCGGCAGTCATTGCTGTTTGACATTAGAAGTTTATTTCTTTATTTATCCTGAGCTGTTTTGTAAAGGAGTGGCTTCCTTGTGACAAAGACGCCGTCATCAGGGTTTAAGAGCATGACATTGACTATTCATTCCCAGCTAAGACAAACAGTTTTGAAATAACAAGATAAAACAGGGGGGTATGGGGGGGGCTTAGGTAATGGGCAAACACAAACAGGGTTTGTACAGTGGTGTTATTGTTTGGACGGGCTGTGGAATCAGTCATCAGCCGGGAGACGACCGCCATAGGCGCAGGCGTGGGGCACCGCTGTTGTTCCAGTGGTGCTTTGTTGAAGAGCTGTGTGCTAGATGCCTGGCAAACACTCACACACCCCATGAGTAAAGCACATATGAGCGATAAGGCCAGGTACTTTTGATGGATTTCACAACAGGCCTAGAACATCCTGTTTATTCAGTATTATCTCCAAATACCTCTGAGACATCGGATTCTTGTCCTATCCTGTTTCTTGATCCTTTTCACACCACATAATTTTTTTTTTTTTTTTTTTTTTGATACAACAGTTTGCTTTGTCAGGACAATGATGGTAATTTCTCCCCAAAGTTAGGCAAATAAGTAAACGTAATGGAGTACAAAAAAGCTCAAACTGAAGAAAATGCTGAAAGTTTCCCTCCTGTTCTATTCAGCAGTTATGTCTGCGAGTACTTTGCAACATATTTATTTTTAGTATTTGAAAACCCACACTTCTATGTATTTTATTAGGACTAAGATGTAGACATGGATAATTGTAAATTGGTTAAACTGCTTGACAACCGTCTATGAACATCCATTTTCAGGTCTTATGGCTCACATTCCACTGGTTGTAGGTACAGACTTTGACTAGACCTTTGAAAAACTGGTTTTCAATTTAGCTTTCTAATTGCCCAGTCTGTTATTTTATGTAGACAGCCATGTCTACATAAAATATCATCTTATATGATTTCCAATACTCATGTTATGATTTGGAATATGCTGACTCTCTGCTGTGCTAAGGAGCTGGCCTGATAGTGTTCTCTTATTAACTTTGGAGGCCTTCATAGAACAGCTGGATTTGTACTGAGATTAAATCACAGACAGGTTGAGTCTGTTTACTAATTAGGTGAAAGCATCTGGTTTCACTATGATTAATTCAAGGGTATCATGGAAAAGGGGGCAGACTGAAAATGTATGTCAGACTTTGCAGATTGCTGTTTGTAAACAACCTTTTAAAGGGATGTTATGTCTTCCTTCACTTCACAAGAGTTATCTGTTCTTCCTCTGTCTAAAATGCTAATAATGTGCATTAAGGTTTGTAGCTGTGATATTTTCTACAAATGAAGTGTTGAATACCGTTTGCAGAGCAATGTGAGAATAATTTTCTCTTTAGAAGAAAACCTAAAAGGTCATCTTCTTCTGTCCAGGATGAGGCTCTGACTCAATCATACTCGTTTCAGGTCGTTATAGCGTTCCCAGCCTGCTTGTTTCGCTCGTGTTGCCCACCGATGTTTAACTGTGTCTCCGACAGCTGAAACAAACCTCAGCTTAGTGCCCCCGGTTTGCCCTCTTATTCTACACATTTTCTGCTTGACTGTTTGAAGTTATTGATGACCTTTCTGTTTTCCACATCACTAAACCCTTTCATGCATCAGCGGGCCAGGCCCACGGTGCTCAGATCTAATCTGCACTATGCAGCTAGCTGTTAGCGCTGTGTCGGAAGTGATGAGTTGATCTGCTCCGTTTGCGTCCCAGTGACCATAGATCCCTACTTGGGGGGCCCAGTAAATTGCCATGGCTTTCATTAGTTGATGATTTTTATGTCTTTCGTTGGAAAATGTGAATATCAGTGATTATTATCAGTAATTATTTGAAAAGGCCACTGTTAATGCATGCTATCAACGTCATTCCTTGTTTTTTTTTTTCACGTGCTTAGTAAATTAAGGCATCAAACGGTTTTCAAATAACAAACTTTCCAATTAGGTGTGCTTTTTAGTTCCTGTGATTCTGTTTACAGCAGAGTTTTATTCCTTTTATTTGGCCTATTTTTCTTTCTTGGCCAAGACAAATTACAGTAATTGTTCCGCTGAAGCGACGGTCTAAAGGAATGCATCTGAATTAGCTTTTCAAAAACACTGATAGCGCTAATTAAGTATAAACTTGTAGATAGCAGTTGAGAGTGAAAAACAATTGCTCACATTATCTGGCATATAATTTGTCTCTCTTGTTGTAAATTCCTTTGACATTAATGTTCAAAGTGTTGGAGGCAGCCAGACGGTATCTGTTATGAATTACAGCAGAGCGTTTGGGGAGGATGCTCATAAATATGAATTTGATCTAAGCAGTATCCACCATCCACCCCCACCCTTCCCCCCCGCCTCATAGAGAGCCAACCTTATTGACCTGATAAGATGCGACACCCCCTCACCGATTTATGTGGCTCAGGTGGGATGATCAGAGCTGTTGCCCCTTATAGATTCTTTTTATGTTTTTGTTACATTTCAGCCTTTTTTTTTATTCGAAACAGGGATAAAATAGGTTTTCATTCCACGGACTTTGACTAGGCTTGACTTTGACTCATTGAAGTTACTTTCATTGTGAATGTACACATTCATGTGCTCTGGTTCATGTTCCATGCTCTGGTTTAGTTGGCCTCATAAAGGAGAAACTCTTCTCTTATCAGTGCATGGAGATTTTCCCAAACATCTTTGGGATTATCAAGAATTGTTTTTTTTTTTTAGAAAAAGTGCGACAGGCCACTCCTGTTGTGAACAATGGCTCTCAGTGTGATTTATTGCCGTTGGATGACACAAAGTAAAGTAAACAACTGTTTCTGATCTCAACTGGATCTCTTTAGATCAGAGCATGATGTGTTCTTTTATTTTCTGATTCGTTTAATGGTGTAAAAACCCTAATAGAATAAATCTTCAGTGGGGGTGAAAATGTTGTTACATTGTCTGTTAACACATGTGTGAATGTATTTAAAATGCACTATCAACCTCCCATAGATGATACTTTACAAAACAGCAAGTTGCTGAACCTGTACGACATCATTTAAGTTGTCCTGGAGGGGGCCAGTGGGATAGTGACAAGACAAATTTGAAAGCAGAGAATGTGGCGAGCCATGAAATGCTCAGCGAGCAGCAGCACGTCGGGGACAGTGGCGGGTAATGCCGCCGACCTGTCAGTGATTGATACATCCAGCAGTGGGCTGCTGGTAATACTTCCTGCCGCAGTTAGACAGGACATATTTCAGACCAAAGGGGTGCGTATCAGCAGGCCGGTGATTACGGCAACATAAACAGGGGTGCAGTAAAGGTCCCGGTCGGATGGAACAATAAACTAATAGCGATGTCACCGTCCCCCTCCCCCCATGGTACTGGGCATCACGCGCCAGAAGTAACAGCGCAGTTTAAAGAGCCCCATGCACTGGGGGCCATTTTTTATTTGGGGGATGATGGGCTGCAACTGATGTCATTATGAACCCTAAATCAACTTTCTGCTTGCTTGAACATGGTCACCTGGGTACACAAGGACAAGGACAGGAAAAGGTTGAAGAGCTCGGCCTGTCTCTGTGCCAGAGCTACCTGCAGATGTAAAATTGAGTTGCTGGGGCGGTGATCAATCAAGTGTCCCAACAACATACATTTTTTAAAGTGCTTGTCCGGACTTACCAGTCGTAATGGGCCGGGAGAGTTGTGTTGAAAAATGGAAAGAAGGAAGATAAACCAATCTGGCATTTAAAGGATGGACAAACTGGCCACCTAAGAGAAAGATTCTACACTTCAATGTCATTACGGGCCCTGCAATAGTCGGATGGAAGATGCAGACCCAGAGACTAAATCTAACACCCGCAGGGACATTTGTGTAATGATGTTTTATTGTCATTTATAAGGAATCATGAGGCATGGCTGTTGTTGGATTTTAGGAGGTTAGGGGTTACGCCGCTATGAATAGAGAGCAATAAAGCCAGAGACGTGTTGGTCTCAGTCCGTTACTTCTCTCATCAGACCAGTCAATCCACCTTGGTTTCATCCGAGTAAACAGTTGCGCCGGGGTCACCTGGGCTGCTGGGTAATTGAGACGGCGTTGGGCTGCCCTGTCAAGCAAACCGGCTAAAAATACATCATCCACTGTCACCGAGAACCAAGTGGGGGGAAAATGATTGGCCCCGCTGTCGGAGCACCGGACACTCGAATCAGCGTTGACCTTCCCCTTCTAAACCCTTTGAAAGAAAAGAGAAAAACCTCTGCTTACTTCATCTTACTTCAATGAAACAATAAGGGATCTATTAATACTGCAGCTGGAAATCAACAAGCTGCGGATTAGCGTGCTGAAACACAGGCAGCAGCATTAAGCATGTTTAGCCTGTCATGGACGTGCGCTTCGATTAAGGCACATCAAGGCGTTGAGGAGAGTTGGGGTGAATACAGCCAGACAGAATAGAGCAAGAGCGTTGAGATTCTGGAATGAGGAAAGACGCTCCTTGGAACGTGGAAAGGTTATTGATTTGTCCTGCAATCATTTCCTGCTCTTTGATATGCAAACGATCTAGTGTGAGTTTACAGCAATCCTATCAGACTCATTTCACAGTTCTTAGCCCCTGCGTCTCTCTGGAGTCCTCCGCCTCATTAGGCCAATGTTCTCTATTACCAGCATAATTAAAATCTTTAGTAGCTTATCAAATTAAAAATATTTTTCGCTGATCATATTGAGATCTTCACCTCACAGTTATTTTCCACAACAGGAATAAATTAAGACTAAGCATTTTGCGCTCAATGTATTACAATCTGCTGCTGAAAGGAAGCACTTCTGCTATCTATAGGACTGGTAATGAGAAGAGGGGGTCATGTGCGAATGATCTTTCATTTGGCAGTGCTCATTTTGAGAATGGATGTAATTAATTGTAATTCTAAACGAATGGTCTTTCCCATTTACTCTGCGGTTCAACCAACCACATGTCCACAGGCTTCCTTTAACCACACTGAGAACATGAGGCTTTCTTTGCAGATTAAGAAAATAAATATGTATTTCAACTAACTGTCTCCAAAGCATTCTTACATTTTAACCTAAAAAACGTCAGTGATTTATTTGATAGACTAACAGAAAGGGGGGTAACAATGTGAAGGGTGCATTTTTTAAATATTCAAACAATAATGAAAAATATGCATCCATTGTGATTCAAAACCTAAAGGTATAGTGAAATATCTTCTTTTTCCTGAATTGATCAATATAAGTGGTCTTCCTAATTGTCAATCTGGTGATATGTTTATGTAATGCTCGTTTCCATTTTCACTTACCGCCGGTGAGTGTGACATAGTGGATAAATTGCAAATTTTCATGTGGAAAGTAAGCTTGTATGAGCGATGCAAACAACAACTTTTAAACGGAGCGTGCACGAGGAGAAATAGGCTCTTTTTTTTTTTGCGAAAAATCTTTAATACAAACGCACTTCATCAAATCTATAGCTGCAAGTATTTTGTATAATATATGTATGAGAATTAACAAGGATTTTGAATCATTGAATATACAGTAGGTCTGAACTTTCACTTGGCCAGTCTAACGCAAAAGTATTTGTTCCTACAGTGCATTCAGTTGTAGCCGTGTTTTAATGCAAAGAAACCCTGCACCACCGTCCCCAGTATGTTCAGTCTATGCAGGTTTGCTTCCACTTTTGTCCTGTACCCATTACTCTGACCACCCCTCCTGTTCTCACTGAGAAAAAGCATCTGCCCCTCCACCATGATTCATTAGTGATGGCAGGTTATCCTAAGCAGAGGTGTTAAATCTAGTAACTGTTTTATCATCTAGCTGTGCTTTAAACATCTCCTCATATCTATTGCTGAACTGTCTGTTATAAACCTTGGTCTTCATGATGCATTTTTTCTACTAGGTTAGGAGTATGAATATTTTTGCACTGTGTTATCTCAGTAAACATGTCTGTGCTAAATTTGACTCATCCAGATTCACTTTGTTTGTACAAAGATTCTCAGCCCTCATTTCATTCATCAGCTTGAGGCTCAGAACGTTTCAAAATGCAACACGTAAATGGACTCCTCGTCTTTGTGGCGTCCAGCTACACTGCAAAAAATATAAATCTCAATAAGTTATTTTTTCTTAAAATAAGTGTGTTTTTTCTTGATTTGAGGAGGTAAGTAAGACACTTTGCCAATGGAACAAGACAATTTCCTTTTAAAATAAGAAAAAACTATTTTATCGTCTTATTTCAAGTAAATATTATCTAACTATCTTATTTTAAGAGTGAAAATACTCATTCCATTGGCAAATCATCTTATTTACCTGCTCAAATTAAGGCTAAATATACTTAATTTAAGCCATTTTTTACTTATTTCTGGATTGTTTTTGCAGTGTAGGTCTCTTGTCTCCATGACATGAAAATGATGGTGAACAAACGAAGCGTTATCCCTCTCAATCCTCAGTCTGAGCCGGAGTGTCAGTCATCACTTACAGGAGTTGAAGGCAACATAAATTCTGTCCATGTGTTTCCAGCAAACAGAAAGAAAAAATGCCTCATGTCTTCAAGGGATTTTTGCTTTCAAAGCCGTGCGAGCGCTGCAGTGCGCTTGACTCGTTAAATGAGGTTTAAGTCGTCTGTGTCAATTGGAGGCGGTGCAGAGCCTTAAGTATTTTGCACATTAATGCGCTTTTGAGAATATTACCCGAGGGTCCTGTTTCTCAAGGAGACAGGGGTGGGATGTTTTCTTGTGTTGCTATTGTAAAGTTTTTTTTGTTGTGAGCTCCCGACACATCTCTGTTGTTGGGAGAAAGTGATGGTGATTATTCAGATTTCATGCCTTGTCTGGATGTTAATTATTTACTCTGGGCATGAAATGTGCGTGAATGCCAGGGATTTGTGTATACAAACACGCTTCAGATCACAGAGAAAATGCAGGCGAGAGATGAAGGCGTCGATGAGGGACGGCTGTGTGGGAGCCTTGTTGAGATCCTCGTGCATTACCCTGTAGTGAAGTATTTTCTAATTAATACTCAGCTTTGTTTACAGACGCTTTGATTTAATTAGGCAATGAAGAAGAGAGTTGGATTAGCCGTTAATTGATTTAATTATCCAATTTGTTTGTCTCAGGCATGATTCCAGCAGAGCTGCAACAACTATGGAAAGAGGTGACGAACGCCCACATGAAGGAGGAGCACAACAGCAGCAACAACGGCCACAGAGGCCTCGACCTGTCCTCCCCGGCGCCGCCAAAGAACCCGCTCCTCAACCAGCACGCCTCCACCAACGGGCAGTACATGAGTCACAAAAGAGACGGGTGAGCTCCTTTCCTTTGCTTCCTCATGTCGGACAGCGCTGAAGTCATGTAGTCCTGAAACACATCCTGTCATGAATCCTTTTTTCAATCCGCTCCTCGGATGCTCTAAGTTTTTATGTAAGTTCTATTTTTCAGATTCAATAAAATCACTTTTGTTTTTTTGGATCTGGTGATTTCATATGAACACCTGGTGAGAATAAAGTCATTTAGAGGAACATGTACAGCTGAGAGGGCCTTATCTCTCTAATAAGGAAGGCTTTGACTGCAGTTCAGCTTTGACTTAGTGTATTTCCTTTTTCTCTTTATATTGACTTAGAGAAAAGAAAACATTTCATCATACCTCAGGAATCGGCTGACTTGCAGAATCATAGCGTCAGTTTTTGCTTAAGCTAAAATGCAAAAAGAAAAGAAAGAGGAAGCAAACAGCTTTTAAAGCACCATCGAAATGTAGATAAATCATCTCTGAAAGGCATTTGTTTTGGGGGTATAGTCAGAGAGAGAGAGGGGTGAAGAGAAAGCATGTCTTTAAGGAAGGAATTAATCTGGCATTTTACACGTTTGCTTGTTTTCTGGCACAAAAGGCTGATCTTTGAACTGCTGGTGAGGAGCCTCCAGGCACCATGAGCTCACTGCGTAACATCTGACTTGTGTTTCAGTGATCAAAACCTGAGAGTCAGTATGAAAGCGATGCCGAATGAAAACATGTTTAGCAAAGTAAATCAGTCAGCCTCTGGAGGTGAAGGGGGGCTGCTGGGGAGAGGGACGTGGTGGGGTTGGAGAGATGATCAACAGGAAGACGTTCTCTGAATATCTGAGGGAGAAAAGATGAAGTAAAAAACTGTTTATTTGGTTTTAAGATATATTAATACCATATTTTTAAACTCCTGTTAAAGGAAAAACAGGGATAATAGAAAGAAAATGAACATTTCAACCTTTAATTTGCAGAGATTTAATCAGCAGGAGAAAAAAAAATCCCATTTTAAGAATCACTGCTGCCTCTGATAATGAACCTCAATGAAGATTTTTTTTCTTTACATATCTAAGTTGATCTGAGTTTCTAGCAGCTTCTTATTAACAATCCATGGATTTCGGTTTCCTACGAATGTAAATGTGATGTGACACTAAGGCTCATTTATTGTGGCTACAAGCTGCCAGGCTTCAGAAGTACCCATGTTTATTTTTTCACCAAACTCTTTAAGCACTTTGGTTCCTTAAAGAGGACAAGGATTTAGATAATTCCTTTCCCTATTTAAATCATTTAGGTGAGGTATATATAAACTACAATGTTTGAATCTGAATTCCTCATGCTTGTTGCTCTTGGGTGTCTATATCATTCCCATTCTTTGGTTTGTAGAGAGCAGCTTGTTTTACTTTGGTTTCTTTAAATGCAAATGAGGCATTTTATACCACGCCCCATTCCAGGTCACAGAACGTTCCACTCATTCTCTTTAGTTACTTTTGTAGCTTGAATCTAAAGATATGATTATCTAAAGGTGCACACAGTGGAAGGCACTGAACTGTGTGAGTTAATACGCCCAACAACCAAACACTTTGACATTACCTCTCAGAGCTTCAGCAACCTTAAGCTTGGACTATAAAATACCTCTGAGGGGAGAGAAAAATGGTGGATTTTTGTTAAAAAAAAGGCAAAAGAGAAAAATTAAAGACTGAAAAATATGAGCTAAACAGAGTATAAAGAGTGTTTTACTTCTCTGACCACCTATAGACTCCAAGTGCCCAAAAGTACAAATGTAGGGCCTATGAAAGCAGACCTGGCATGAAATGTTCCCTTTAAAAAGCATAAGATGGACCTAATGGATTACTTTGGAATGATAGCAGGAAAAAGCCCCTCTGTCCTACCTTACCAGACATAAAACGGTTGTGTCCTAATCTCTACCTGGGCTTATAGGCTGGAAGTTCTTCCATGTGTTACTATGGGCCTGTTTAGTTTTTTTATGAGGCCATCTGAGAGAATCTGGCATCATGAATTTCTAGAAAGAAATCTTGGTAGATTTTAAATGAAAACTGTAGAGAACTCCAGATGAACTTTGGATATTGATACATAATGCAGAGTCAAAATGAAAAATTTACCTTCTTCCATGGAAATATAAATGAAAAACCTTGAAGTTAAGCAGAGAAGGAGAGATTGGATGAAGATCTGGAGTTAGACTGCAGAGAAGATTGGTCCAAGATGCTTCTCAGGAAATGCCCCTGTCTGGTAAATGTTATTAAAGAAGACTAGGGATATGTGCCACTGGCAGAAGCAGGTGATTTAAAGTATTAATCGCTGTGGTAGGTTTGTGACCTTTGCTGCATTTTGAGTTCTTACTCAGTCTCTGGAGCAAAGTAAAATCAGAGCGTTAGTTGTTTCCTTCATCATTGAGCTGAGTGTCTGCTTTTCTGACAAATCGCAGAGGATGATATTGACTCACTGCCTCCATCACACATTGTCGCCAAGCAAGCAAACAAGGTGAGCATTGATGGCAGCCAAAGGCAGGAAGCACCCAGAGCTGAAGGCTCCACGAAACATCAGAGAAGACATAACGCAAGAGCTGGCAGCACCTCTGCCTCGCGCCGACTGTCAGAGATTAAAGAAGATGTCAGCAGCAGTTTAACACAAGCTTAAGTGAAGAAGGCAGTCTCGGTCGGAGTATTCTGGTAGTATCTTAGATCTGTCAGAAAACCAAGCAGGTGATTCTCCTGCACCCCATCTGTTGGAGGAAGTGGATTACCCACGCAGACTTTCAAATGTGCAATAACTAAGAAAGATGGCTGGAACAAAGTGAGCGCAAAACACTCCCTGTTAGATGCTGCATGATGCTAATTTAGATCCACGCAACCTCTAATCCTTTCCTGTGTTAATTTTTGGAACACATAAATCACACAAGTATCAAAAGCATTGTTCTTCTCTTTTGATGATGCACACTCAGTTCTAATCAGACTCCATGGGAAGAAGAATAAAATATTATTAAGGATGATTATTCTAAGCAAGGCTCTGAGAGAACGTCTGTGTTATAATCCAGGGATTTGAATAATCAGGTTGAAGATAATGGGCTGGGCGTAAATAGAGAGCATCCACTCATCCTCCCAGTGCTGAACTTAATGAACTTTTAATTGATGCGGTTGTGCAAGTCCCTTTGTCATGCAACAGAAACAAGCCTCTCTGCAGATGGGCCCGTTTTCCCGGCTGGCTTCAGATTGGTTTACAGCAGGCCCTAAGTACCATGTAGTTAGTTTCATGTGTCATATAAAATCTGCCCAGGCACAACGACGCCTGCAACTAAAACCTTAAGTGCATCCACAGGAATCACTCACGGGCTTTGCACTTCCGTCTTAAGGAAGACGGAGAAATTCAATCACTGCCGGCTTGACACACTGAAGACGATTCACGTGTTCCTGCTTTTAGTTGTTGCTAGGAACACACCGGCAGAGCTGGGAGTTGTGTTTGTCTAAATAACATCCCTGATATGACCGGAGCCCGAGTCACATTATCTGCCAGGCGGTGTTGTTTCACGGCCGACAGAAAGCGATGCATAGATGGAGATATACCCCCAGTGACTCAGGTCATCTTTATTCAGTCATTTGCTTATTTAAATCAAAATGTGCCTGATCTGTATCTGACACGAATTCCCAATCCTGCATTAGCTTTGTGAAGAGGAGATGGGAGGGGGGTCGTCACAAAGCACTTGGCCCACTTTACTTCCAAACAACCATCAGTAACAACAGCTCAGGGACTGTAACACAGCAGTCTGTTAAGGGGATAAATAATCAGATTTGGCACCGCTCTCCCTTCTCGCTCCTGCCTTTCATTTGTCTTACACAAGAAAAAAAAAGCTAATTAAATCATTTAGGGTAAGGCATGCAGTGGTACCAGAAGGAGGGAAGGATCCAGGAAAGATCTGGGGTGTTAAAGAAGGAGGGAACTGAGTATAGATGGAGGAATGAACCCGCAGTGTCTAGAGGCTCCTTACCCTGACCACCATCTTCCCTTCTTTCTGACATATTGCGTCTGCCTTGACTTGTTTATGGCCAAAATCGTCCCATCAAAGTAAGTGAGCTTGAAAACAACTGGCTAGCAGCTGTCAGGATCGTCTTCATGTTCATTCTCTTCTTTAACCAGAAAGCTTTGCACCTTGACTCTATACCTGCCTCCTGGTGCACTAAAGGAAGCTGATTTCAGGTTTCTCCTTATTGTCATTTTATTATAAAATTTCTCAACCAAGATGCCTTTAAACAATTTGAAATAAAATAAAAATGCTGCAACTTAAAAACACAAGAAGTTTAAATATTTGTCTAAAAGTAGAAAAGAACAGTTTGGATAAAAGTTTGACTTTTTCAATAGAGGTCTATCAGATCAGATTGATCTGTGTGATATACCCCATCCAAGCAAAGCCTGTCTCCCAAAGGAACTGGTCCACCTGAGACTTTGTCCCATGAAGTAACTCTACCCCTGTCAACACAATCTCTCTATAAATCTGTTATAATGCAGTTTTTAAAAGAAAATATTTCAGTTTAAAGAGTGTGTTAAAATCTGAGGATGAGCCTTACTTTAAAGTAAAAAGGAAATAGTCTTGAGTGTTTCAGTTGCATCGACAGTCGGCTGATGCAGACTGTGCCACGTTCAGTCACAAAACCCTCCACTGCTACACACTAGTTATTGCAGCAAAGCTTTTGGTCCCTAGAAGGATGAAATACCTGCAGCATATCCACTAAATTAAAGCACTATTTCTCATTTCATTCAGTCTGGGCTATGTTCAATCATTCTTTAGTTTACACCAAACCAACTTAGACTGATCAAACTTGGGATTTAAATCCGTTAACGTTTAGGAAAACAAATAAATACATATTTACTCCAAAATACTGTTAAAAAGTTTCTCTTGTCTTTTCCTCATACACACAATATAATTTCCTGCATATATCAATAGTAGTTTCGTGACAATATTTCATGCTTTAAATGACAATGCTTGCAGTTAGTCTTTAATGTTATATAAGCATCAATACAGACTTTTTCAACATCCAACAAGCCCATTTCAGAACTCTGGTTAAATCTGGTCTCATACCTTAAGAACCAGTTCCTGAACTAAGCATTGAGTAAGGTGGCTCAGATGCCAAACAAAACATTGTCTGTTTGTAAGTTTCCACATTAATAATAAGAATTATTACGAACTGAAGTGCATTATAATGAGATACTTTGAAATATAGACAATTTAAAAACTCTACAAACTCTACCAAATCAAAAGCTACCTGAGCATTATTTTTTAATAATAAAACTGTACTATTGTGAATGTTTTATCAAGGTGAATGTTTTTCATTTATACTCCAGGAAAAACAAAACCACAAAGTTGTGTGTGACGGAGTATGAAAATTAAATCAAATAGGTTGTTTGGTGTTGGTAATGCCAACCCCATTGCAGGTCAGCTTAAAAAAAAATTACAAAATGACAATAATACAGTATATATATATATAAACTTTTTTTGTGGAATTGCAATGAAAATACATGTACCAATTCTCTCTGATTACTATAAAGTACTGTAGCTCCTGTGATGTAAATTCTGTCATTTAACTCCCATTCAAAAAGTCCCATCATTGTGACTCCTTCCTTGTGCTCACCACATTTTAATATCTTATTAATACAGAATCAACCAACAAGCCTCCTCCCAAAGACTTAAAGCAAAAAGATCTCTCTAAATTAAAAATCAGCGTCACCTTCAGTCCACACGTTTCCTTGTTAAAAACTCATTATAATTGGTCGTCTGCCATCTATTTATTAGCTGTATCAAAACAGAGGTCTTAATGTGAATGCATAATTCATAATTGAATTAAAAAAATTGTATTTTTTAAAAGAGGGAGAAAAAAAAATCCACTAACTGCATTCTTGAATGCTCGACTGCTTCCTAATTGCAATGCAATTATTGGCTGTTATGAACAATGTGAACTGTTAAGTAAGTAATTATAACACAGGAAAACCTATGCTGACCTCCAGAATTTCCTCCTTGATGTGCAGCTTTACAAAAATCAGTCCAAATGAGGTTTTAATCTGAAAATCTGCTTGTTTAATCCTGTGAAATCAGCACTTTGATCGATTAAATTTTTACTAATATCTTTTTAGATCTTTTTTCTTTAATTGTACAGCATGAATCATGTCCTAAAAGTTAATCCAGCCATGTGGTACGGCACAAATTGGACATTATTTTCTTATTGAATACATGCATATCAATGAGGTGTTAGTCATTGAGGTTATTCTCAAGTGGGAACACAACAGTTTGTTGTGCCATGAATCTCCTTATATGTCCCGCTGTCTTATAGCACCCGGCTATCGCAGCCGCGCCGTGCTCACCAGCCGCCAGAAGCACAGGTGGTAGCAATATAGGCCAGTCCCCCAGGCTCTTGTATCTGAAGTTGTGTGTCTTGTATAGCGCCTGTGCCCATATGGCTGCCTGTCTCGCTTTCTTAGCAGACTATGCCGCCTTCCCTCAGCTCTGATTGTGGTTAGCTGTGGTTCCACGCCTCGCACCATATGGAAGATGTTGTAAAGTTTGTTTTTCAGCGATGTTCCTGCTATTTAGACTGATTGTACCAAGCCATACGCTCCCCAAACGATGCATTCTCGTCAGCCCCTGGTGACATGAATTGGTCCAGAGATAAATTGATGCCAGGCGGGGATGTTTACAGTTTGTACATGGTGTGAAAGTGGAGGTTTCAGATTGTGTTTCAGGTTTCTCCAGGTGGGCTCCTGGACGTGATGCAGTTGCTACCTCCCCAAGGCCATTCCGATCAAAGAGAATTACAGCATGGCTCAGTGATGCTAAATAATTACGTATTGATTTGGTTGGGCTTTCACAACAAGTGTTCCCTCGTTTAAAAGCAGAGAAACCACTGATCACACAGGTAAACTGATTCTGCAAAGGCCAAGGTTCACAGATCAAGTAGAAGTCGATATTGTTCTGTGGAAACAAGACAGAGTACACACAGAGAGGATTTTGATTAACAGCAGACACTGTCATCTTGGAACATTCAGAGGCTTTTTTTCCCCCTGACTGAGTTCAAAGAAGTGGAGATGTTTTTTCCTTTTTATTAATTGTAGGTTTCTGTTTTGCAGATCGACGTTGGAAGAGCATTCGCCCCACAGTCACCCTCTCTACGGCCACGGCGTTTGCAAATGGCCCGGCTGTGAGGCTGTTTTTGATGATTTCCAGTCATTCCTCAAGTAAGTAAAACGCCATGGTTGGAGGTGTGTTTTCTGTCACAGTTTGTTTGTCCTTTCTTTTGGGTGGGGCGGGGGTCGATTATATGTTTTGTGACCCGTGGCAACACAGATGCACTGCAGGTGCAGCTGGTTGTTTTTCCTCCGTCAGGGTTTGCCCACTCTTGAAAAAGGGCACTCTGGTGGGGTCTCCTTCTGGGAACTGCATGGGCCTCTAATTCCTGTGATAAGTGCAGTTCCCATGGTGACAGGGCCATTTTTCCCAAACAAACAACGGTGGGATGTTTATCTGTGGCAGCTCACACTCGGAGCCCTGCGTGTTTGCCCTTGTCACCGGTCAGAAGGAGTGCTTTCCTCTTGTGCAGCTTTCCAAATCTTTGGAAAGTTGGCCCATTGTTTGGCTTCTAAATGCCCAACTCTCCTTTTTTGTTTTTTAATTAGCAACAAGTAAAGTTCCTTGCAAAAGTGTTAATTCCCCTGGTACTTTTCACATTTGACGCGACTAAAACAACAAACTTTTATTTTTATTTTTTACTGGATGGGAAAAACCAACACAAAGTACTTTTACATTTGAAACTCATAAAAAGGTCTTTCTAGGAGTACCTCTCTCTGTAAATAAAGCAGCAAGTGTTGTCCAGCGGGCTTTCCTCCAGGGTCCCCCTGTATTTAGTTTTATTTCCCTCACAGCATGATGCTGCCTCCACCATAAATCTCCTCAGGGTATGTGTGTTCAGCTTATGGGCACATTTCTTTGGTCTAAAATTTTAGATTTCGGTCCTAATGAACAAGAACAAACATTGATGTTTTCCCTACAAGGCTATCAAACTGTAAGGAGGACTTCAAAATGTTGTTTTCAGTAATAAAGGCCAGATCTCTGGTTTGAACGACTGCTGACAGATCTTCTACCCTAGCCTTATCTTGGTAGGTTGATTCTGCTTTATAGTTCAGACCCACTTTGCAGCTATGTTCTACTTTGTTGCATAAAATCCCCCCAAAAAAGATCAAACCTTAAGGTAAAGGTGAACAAACAATGCTGTCGTCTAGTCAGCTGCTGTTGGCATTTTGATGTTTTCTGTATCTGCGGTTTGAGTCTGTCCAGCCTGACGCGCCCTGTTTGAGCCTGATCCCTGGTTTACTGATCAACACACACGACAGCGCCATGGTTACAGGAGAGGAGGAAAATATGCACACCGTGACACTAGATCAATGGCTCCCCATCACCTCGAATTAGTCACTCTTTAAACAAGATATGACACCATTCTATTATCCAAAAACAGCCTCTAAGCAAACACATAAGTGAAGGTGTTCTGGTGGAGCGACTAGAAGCCAGGCTGAAAGTTAGGACTCACTTTCTCAACATCTTGAATCTTCTTTGTGTTGTTTACATAAATCCCCTTTGAACCTCCTTATCACGTCAGACTGTATGGTAGCCCAGTTCCCGTCTCAGAGAAAACAGCCTGGTATGTATTCTTACTTTATTTTAATAAACATCCTGTGATACAGTTATTAAAGCATGTGTTGCAGACTCACATTTTCCCACAAAGACAGGCATACTTCAGATTAGGGAGTGCCTGCTTAAATCTATCAGTATTTATTGTATTCTGACGTTGCCTCACCCTTTGTTTATAGAACTGAGGAGAATTAAAGTCAGTGTGCCCAGCAGAGCTCTGCCTGAAAAAGTCTCTAAGTGCACTCAGCTCTGTTTTTACAAGTGTTTTTATCATGGCAACATCTTGTTTACTTTAGTTGCCTGCTCAAACTGCTTGGAACATGTTAAGAAAACATTCAGGGAGAGTCTCCACAAAGCCGCCTTTGTTTCAGAGCGGGCCAGAGTACGAGCAGCTCACCAAGGTGTTAACGCTCAAAACCTTAAGCACTTCCACATGAAACCCAGCAACCGATACTGCAGGACTCCGAAAAGGATTCCAAAACAAAAACAAAGAGCACATCAGACTTTCTAATGCTGCTTCAAATGCCTCCTGAGGCTGGAAGCAAAGCCCAAAGAGAGAGCGCCGCGCGCGTCTCTGAGTGTGGAGTCAGCGGAACACGACGTACTGAGGAGACAGAAAGGTGAGGAGGACTCTAACGTTGAACAGATTTCAGCCCAGGCACGCCAACAGCAACAGCCAACACTGGAACCAAATGTTGTTTTAAACTGCGTGTATATTTATTTTATCTTTAAAGGAAAACATGACATACCTACGCCAACTATCTTGATAAATACAAAGTTCCAAATCCCTGTTCTTGTTTTTGGGTTCAGCCCACAGAGGGGGGGTGGGATGGAGTTCACAGCAGAGCCTGGTGCTTTTTGATGAGGGTCAGGACCCTTCTCTGTAATGTCCAGTCAGAGGTCATAGAAACACCGCAGTGCCCTCTAGTGCTGTAAACCACAAATACCTCATGGTCCCAACAGCTTCCAGCTTCTCGGCCTCGTAACAGTCGGTAGAAAAAAGCACGGAAATAAAAAAATTTACACTCTGATACAAAACTCCTATGCGTTTAAAATATAAACACCTCTTCATAGTGGTGTGCATTTAATTTAAGTTCCAGCCAGCAGTGAGGAAAATAAAACCTTCCTCAGAGAGAGCTTCAAACTGACGCTTCAGCTCATATAATTAGAAACGGTGAGAGGGCGGAGGAGGAAGGAAAAAGTCGGGCAAAACCGAGTGAATTGTGGAAAGGCGGCTGGCTGAATATCTGTTTAACTTGTTTTATTGTGGCAATCTGCATTAGGCCCTCATCCTGCCAGAGAGCTTTTAAAAGTGGCTCCATTTGAAGTCCAGAAAGTGACACATGCCAACGTTCATAGCCTCCCTCGACGTCAACCCCGATCCCCCCACCCGCTCCTGTGTCCAGGCGCTCCTCTCAAGGCTGCATTAGGGCCATTTGAATATTTCATTTCCTATTAATTATGCACTGTGACTCTCCATGTCATTAGAAGAAATAAAGTGGAATGTAACAAAGGATGAAAAGAAGCGGAGGCACATGTCTCGTACGAGCCCAGAGATTCCTACGCTGCTCACGTCGGCCGCCCCCTTCATTGAAGATTCAGTCTGGGGGCCAGTTAAATTGAAGTTGAAACGTCTTTACCTATTATTTTCCCCTTTGAAATTTAGTTAGATGTCCTGAAATGTTTACCGGTTTCATTTTTCGACCCACTTAATTAAATGGGCTCTTATATGATTCGAACAAATGGAAAGCCCAGAGAAAAGCTGGAATTGATTTTGACAAAGAGGGTTCTCAGCCGTGCTTTTTAAGAGTAAGAAATATGCCTCTTTATTTTCACCCCGATAATTAACTTCAAGTGACAACTGTGTACCTTAGTCAATTTTACGCAGGGTATCATCGGAAACACAATGAGAAGACCTGACCACATTCCCAGGAACATTTTAAACCCGTTACCTCGAGTTTTGACGCAACACAAGATGGACAGAAACCTTCATATTTCAAACTGTTTACAGATTCCATTTTCAAAATGTGCCGTTTAATGGACAAATGTGTGTGAACATAAGGAAATGGTGAATTTATAGAAGTGTCATAATGTCACCTCTGTGCATTCCCAGGTTGTCTTTGGCTAGTTTTGATTTACAGCAAATGGCAGGAAAAGTGTAGATATATTTTTAAAACTGCGACCTCCTTTCTCTCGCCTGTATGCACACACACAGACGTGCCTGGTGACAGTGACCTACATGGTCACCGCAGATGTGATATAATTTATGATATATATAATATATTGGATCCATTAGTGAGCATAATGAAGTAGTGAAATGAAAGGGTATTTGTGAAATCAGTTCAAACATCCTGCTCGGATTATGATTAAATGATTAATGAAATGCCCCTGCATAAGCATTTTCAAACAGTAATTCATGCGGCAGCTGATAAAATTCCTCCAATCATATTTCCTTCACTCATAAACCTTATCTCCACCATTTTATATAAATCACCCCCCCCCCAAAAAAAAAGAGCGTCTGCTACCCAGCGAACTACTTTAGATTAGTAATAAACGTGCACGAAAAGAGAACATCTTTCCTGAATAAAATAATCGCACGTAATTATATCCATAATTCAAGCCTGTGACAGATCCCCATCTCCTCGTCCTGTTGTCCTCTACCATTGGTCCGGCTGTATTTGAATTCCCTTAATTCTGATGATAAAATTAACAATGCAAACAGCAAAGAGAGGGCAAAGTCAACATGGCGAGACAGAGCTGCAGCAGGAAGAAATGGTGTCAGGGCATTGGTGCATAATTTAGCAAAGGAATCCTACCTGAAATTCTTCAATCATTCCTCTTATCAGTAAGCTGGGAGAACAAGCATGACCGGCATGAAATATTGACTGTCATTCTTTAACATTAAAAAAAGTATTCCTTCTTTGTTCTGCAGACATTGTGCAATCACTATAATATGCTCTGCTATTTACATAAATGTTATTAAAGTGGCTCCACACTCACTTACCTCAGTGATCCACTGACCAGACGCTAACGGAACCTGTTCTTTTCCACATTTAAAAAGGTTGCTGTTTGAAAAGAAAACCAGCAAATAGTTTTAACAGACACCAAAATAATAGCATTAGTCATATGCAGTTATTAATTAGCTTTTATTGTGCAGAAGTTTAATTCTGATAGAATTGCATCTAAAAGTGACTAAAATATTATAAAAGGGACAACAGTTTTAAAAAAAAGTTAAAATGACATCGCTTTCAAAGAGATATTTTTGCCATCATTATAAAAATGGTAAATCAGAAACTATTCAAACCAACATTGCCTTTCAGCAATGAACCCCTAATTATCATTCCTTCTAATTTTGTATAGTTTTATTTATTTATTTTCTTTTATTTATTTATTTTTTTTTTTTTGGTGATGAGCTCCACATTTTTTGGGTGAGAAGGCCACTGTGTCATCGCCCTAATCATTGCTCCCTTCATTTCTAGGCATAAGAAATATTATGGCCATATTCAAAGGTAACTGGGCTTTACTGCTCTAATCCAGATGAGAAAAGTAAATATTTTTTATAAAATGTTTTGTATTTTTAAACAATTTTTATATTATTGAAATACTGTTCTGATTCAGAATTTTGATTTTATATTTATAATGTTACTGTGATTGAATACCTGTATCTAGAAATATTTTTCTATTCTTCTCAGCTGAACCTCCTCTCATTCCTCCCCAAATACCAGTAGAAAAAATTTATTTCATAGTTTAAAAATAAAAAAAATGAAAAGATTAAAAGAATGTTCATGTCTTCTCTCTTTGTGTTTTTCAGGCATCTCAACAATGAGCACGCCCTGGACGACAGGAGCACGGCCCAGTGTCGGGTGCAAATGCAGGTCGTCCAGCAGCTGGAGCTGCAGGTATTGTCCCGCTGCTTGTTTTGGTCCAAATATTTACGTGCTGTCTCCTGCTGAAACTTCCTCCAACACCCTCCATCAGTCTGTCTGACACCAGCCGTGGGGTCACTCGATGGGGGCGGGGCTCGTCAGCAGAATTAAATAATTTTGCGCATTTGCTAGTAACCAGTCATTAAAAATGTGTTATGTATGCATGACAGCCAGGAAAAGATATATGAATAGCCTGAGGCTGAGTGGAGAAGATAATTGCATTTTGAATTTTACTGGGTTTTAAAGTTATTTATGACTTTAACTGTTTGGCACCAACAATAAAACACTTATGAAATGACTAGACAGCAAAGAGTGGACAGGCAGTCAGTGGTTAGTGACTTAGAGGAACAGGAAGGTTATTCTGGCCCTCAGAGTTACTTTATTATCGTCTAAGATACGGTTCCCCCAGAAAAATAATAAAGATGGGGATAAAAAAAAAAAAAAGCTCTGCTTTTCTAATAAAAAAAAAAACAGATAAAATATACTGCCTGAAAGAAACAAGACACATGATGTGAAAGTCTGCAAACATTTATTCAGTTAGATTTTCATCAGTATTTATGAACAGAAATGATATTAGTTTAACAGATCAGTGAAACTAAACCTAATGAGCTAAATTCTTTCTCACTTTAGGTTGTTTTTTCTTATTTGAATCATTCTACTTAACTTATATTAAAATAAAACACAAAATGATTATTTTAATGCGTAAGATATTGCTGAAATAATATTTGTAAATAATAAAAAAAAAAAATCTAAATGTGCAGATTATTTACACCGACTTCCTAAAGGCTAGCAAGCTCGTTTGTATCAAACTGGCTAAACTGGCTAGCATACTGTCCGCTATCCAATTTGCACTGGTAGCATGATCTGTGCCATCAGCTCATGTGCAATCAAATATTCTCCATACCGCCCTTAAATAATGTCATTGCAATAACAAAGTACTTATTTTGATCCTTAGATTATTAAAGCATGCTAAGCTAAATTGTATAACAACTATTAATAAAAATTTTAATGAGAGAATTAATGTGTTTACATTCTTTCATTATTAGACAGATCTAGAGCAGTCCGGCGAAATGTGGTTCCACCGTGTTGTTTACTATATTTTGGTTGTCATTTTTCTACTGTACTATATACAGGTAAAATTAAATGCAAACATAAAACCAAAACAACAAAAATTTTTTACTAATCTAATGCATAAAAATGTGCTTTTGGAAGTGGGGCAGAGATTACCTTTCAACGACTGGATTCTTTCAGCAAAGTCATTATCATCCCTTTACACAATGCAGTTTAGTAAAATTTTTTATTATCAGTCTTAAATAAGTAATTTTAGGCCTTTTTTTAAAATTTACAACCAATAACAACCCAAATGTAGTTTGCTGTGCATGCATAAATGGACCTATGATACAGATGACGGCAACAGTAAATATGACATGCTGACTAATGACTAGCACTAATGCTAAACTACCTAAAGTTAGCTACAAACTGAGAATTATTCAGTCGTGTGACAGTTCCCCTTTTTCCTACGTTCTTACAATTTGAGATGTAATAAAATCCATATTAAGAAACCAGATTTAGCATTTTATTCTTGAGCCCCAAACAATAACATATGGTTCAAATGGGATTTGCAACCACAGTTTCAGTCATAATTTAGACATTAAATTTCTGAGCTCAAATTTAGGTAAAATATACAATTTACAAAGTTTTTATTGTATAAAATTTGAAACAATTAACATAATTTTCTTTAAAGTAAAATGATGAGTCCCTCTCTAAAATAAACTGATCAATTAAAAACATCAGTCCAACTTTTAGCTTCTGCAGCAGTTCAAGAGCGATGATTTGTTCCAGACGTTGAGGCTTTGTTCATTTGTGGTTCAGTCACTGGCCACATAATTGCCCCAAATTGAATGATATTAGCATCAGTTAATAGCTGAGAACAGTTCTGGTTTAGGAGGAAGTTAACCTTAAAACAATGAGATTTCAGTTGCTCGTACGTTAAATCGTGGCAGCGTCTTGTTATTTCTGCTCTGCTGGTTCGTCATCCAAAAAGGATCGGTGAGGCTTCAGCAGATGCAGGCATCCTCTGCATAAGTTGAACTGGCAGCTTAAACAGCGCTGATTTTCAGACAGGTAGAAAGGAATTGGTTTTATAGTTGCGAATGAGACATTTGATTTTAGTAATGGAGACTTAGGCTACAGGAATAAGCATTTATAATACAAGTAATTACAGTTCTCTCACCCATAAAACCCCGTCTTTCATTTGCTCATCATCAAAAACCTTTCCGTTTTAAAATTGTATCTGAAGGTTTATGCCTGCGTCTGTTCATTGTGCTTTCTCTTTTCTTATAATAGCTAGCGAAAGACAAAGAGCGACTGCAAGCCATGATGACGCATCTTCATGTCAAGTCCACAGAGCCCAAAGCCACCCCGCAGCCGGTGAGCAGCAACCCTGTCATGCATCTCCCTCTCCCCTCCCCCATTCCTTTTGTTTGTCTTAATTGGCACACATGTATTCATTAATCCCTTCCTCCATCTTCTTATATATCTGCTAAATAAAAACAGCTGTTCTCTTGAGGGAAGCAGTAAATATAGTTTGGAGCACATCTGCTGACATCTGAGATTCAATTTGGTGCCGGTGATGAACTGGATGCGCGCTATGAAACGGCCCCCCGTCTCTGCAGCAGAGAGTCATTTCCTCTCCAAGCAAAAAAATCTATGAAACGCCAAAAATGTATATAGAAGAATTAAGATGCGTTATGTTTTGAGAAATAAATATACCTATAGTTTAAAAAAATGGTAATGCTAATAAATTATTCACCATGAAAAAGTTGAAAATGTTTAAAATGCAAATTAAAAATCACTTTCAAATACATGAAGGAGTAATTCTATAGAAATTCTGGTATTATTTATTGATATATTTATTAAGGGCAGGGCTCATGTGATAATTTAGGTCTCTCTGTAGTTAAAAAGTTTCTAGAACTTACTTTATGACTTTACTAGACCCTAATGTTTAGTAATCTATGCTTAGAAAAAAAAAAGATTTTGTTTTGGTTTCATCTTTAATATTAGAAGTTTCATTCCAGTTCTGCAGAGTAAACATGAAAATGAGAAAAGAAACCAGATTTTTTTGTAAAGGGGAGAAACTGATTTTAATTTATTTTTCTCAACATTTTCCAAACATACCTATTCCTCTCTGAGTACAGTATAACATTAAGCTCACTGCTAAATCCTTATGCTATAGGGCTTAAGGCTTTGCATCTGGCGTTTAAGTGTCGGCTTTATTTTGTCATATTAAAGATTGGGCCTCACCCTCATATTTCAGTCCATATGACAGTTCATTCAGACAGCCAAATGAGCAGATATAATTTTACTGCAGGGCATGAATGTAAAATCATACTCACACATGCACATAAATGGACGATAAACATGCAGGAGTCCTGTCCCTGCGCTGTTTGGATCATTTATTTACAGTGAGGAGGCTATTGACATCCGGAGGCTGCGTGTGCGCATTCTACACACACAACATCAGCGCAGGTAGTCAGTCCACAGTAAGCGCCTGGAGATGTTGAATGACAATAAGCTGTCTCTTAAAGCCGTGCCTGTGTGATTGTGTAGATTAGGGTTCAGAACGAGGGCTCTGACACAGGGACATTTGTATATGAAAAGTGGTTGGGGCGACAGATAGCATCTCGAGTTCGCTGCCTCTCCTCCCTCCCCTGGGCCCCGGTAGAATGGCTGTGTCAGAGCTCAGTGTTAACACTCTCAAGGGGGTGAGCTGGGATTTTTTTTTTTATTATTATTATTCAAATAAATAGACTCACATTCTCTGAGGCAGTTCTGCCTGCTGCGAGCTGCTGTGATGAAAATGTCTGAGTTTGGCTGGGTGAGTGGAGGACTTACACAGGTCAGAGACCATGGTCCCAGTGAGGCTTGAAGGAGATTGCATCACAGCTACCTGCAGATAGGAGGTAGAGTAAAATTATCTCCTGAGATGACCTGAAATAGATCCGCTTTGAACAGTACAGATGAGTCCTTCCTGTAAATGCAGCTGCAGTTTTCCTTTGGCGATACACACCAATGGAGGAATGCTGTTTGAGGAGCATCACAGCAAAGCAGCTCCCTTGAACCTGATGATTTACATTTTTTAGTAGAATTAGGTTTGTAACCAGATATTTTCAGATATTAGAACAGCACAAAATGTCATGTAAAACTGAGATGTGTCTCATAAAGTGCTTTTCAGTCATAAAGTGCTTTTCAGTTATCTGTTTAGGTAACACCAAGATATTCCGTTAAGGTGTTTGCTTAAACTTTATGCTCTTAATTTGAAATAGAAAGGGAAGTTGTTTTTCAGCTAACTAGTTTTTTTTTTGCTCTTTTTTGAGGTCTTACTTGATTTAATAATCTAAAATATAATAAAAAATAACCTAAAGTAAAACTACAGATATTTAGAAACGTTTCTATACATCAGCTCTGTCTGCATTTTAAATTTAATGTCAGCAGAGATTTCTCCACTGTGGTATAATAAATATTAACATAAAGCAGGTAATGACACTGCATGTGTCTACTGGCTTTCTGTGCTTGAAGGTAAGACCACAGTGAGGCAGACTCTTTTCAATGATTGTCTCACTTGAGAAAGTTATTAATGTGTTTTTTATCTAATTTAATCCAATGTAAAATAAATTGTACTATCCATATACATACATTTTTGCTCAGGATCTTTAAATAGAAACAGGCATTGTTTAAAAATCTATTTAATTTGAAGCTTTATTCTGTTAAAGTAAAAGTGCATCACAATATTGGAAGTACAATAAACCCACAATATATGTACAGGTCAAACCTGGATTCTTAAACATGGGTAAAATCTCGTCTTGTTGCTGTAGCCTAATATCTAACATCGACTCTTTTCAAGAACTGAAAATATGCTTTCTCTCCTAGTCAGAATCTGTGCTCACAAACGAACAGGAGTCATCACATTTTCTTTTCCTGACTCTGGGCATGGTGGGGGCAGGAAGAAGATGAACACAAAATGTGCCACATTAGCGATGCATGTTTCTGTGTGTGTATTTGTATTTTTCTCTGTGTATGGGGGGATGGCTCCGCACAGTGTCACTAAGCATTCTTGTCAGAAATCTGACCTTTTACGCCATACATAATTAAGGAGGGACTTTTTGTTTATTTTCTTTAGCAGCTTGCCGAGTCAAAGCCAGTATAATTAGATCACCAATTACCATTTAATTAATTTCAGTGTGAAGTCTCATTTTGTCCGGGAACTGGAGTGAGACCAAATGGTGAAGCAAACAAAGGCAAGGCTATTACCAGCCTGTCTGGCCTATTGTTGGAGCCTCTCTGTGTTTATGGCCAGGGAATATGGATGAAACATGAAACAAAGCCCGCTAATCCACAGGAAGAGAAGTCAACACGACAGACTCCTTCTATTGATAGTATTGTGTCAGAAACACGCAAACCCAAGAGTAATTTATTTTCTTCATGTTTTCAGAATAACACATCTCTCACTACCGTTTGTGTGCCTGTGTGCAGCTCTGCCGAAACCCAAATCATTTTGGCAGACTCTGCCAAAAAAATACAGAAAGGGAAAAAAGATAGCATTTAGTCTGCAAAACATAAATAGACATTGTGAGGCTTTGGACAAGTCTGTTTTAACAGCAGATTTAAAAACCACTAATTTCAGAGAGAGTTGGTTGCTATTTTTATATCTGATAAAAACTGAAATAAAATCAAAACAAATACTTTAATTACAGAGATTACACTGTTATTTTTAATTCTGGGATGTTTGTATCTATGCCATTTGCTGCACTCACATTTCCAAATATTAAGTTGTTTTGCATCACAGTTGTACTCCTTAATAAAGATATTGTAGCCAGATGTTATTATGTATAAATCTTATTTGGTGGAACCGTATTTATATTTTTTGGCTCTGATTTTTTTGTACTTTTTGTCATCACTAAAATCATTATTGCAAAATACAAAAAAAAATATAGCCATTGTTACTTTGCATGTGTTAATAACACATTATATTCAGCTGTACTGATTCAGAGTAACAAAAACCTGGCAGGGTTAAGAAGAATATTTTTCTTTAAAATGGAGTGTAGTTGCTGTCAGCATATGACAGGTAAAGTCAGTATTAGTGGTCATTATTGGTCCTTGACAAAGAAAGAGGAAGATTTACAGCTTTAAAGAAGCGCTCACCTGTTTGAAACAGCGTTTTGGGAGAATACGGAAACACTCAACTAGCTCACTAGCTAACCAGTCACCATAAAGTTGACCTCTGCTTTGCAGCAGATTGGTGCTACTTATTTTTTAAATGTTATTTACAAAGTCTTCTGTTAACTCTTTGTTTATTTTACACTGAACAGTTTTATTTTATTGTGAAATTGCCAACGTGAGTATTTTCAATGGCTTTCTACCTTCTATTTAATGAGGCACAGCCACTTTAATAAGGATTCATTGCTCATAGATTACGAAAAAATCTGATTTTAAAATAATATTTTTTGTGTAAACAAAAATAATTCCAAAATTTCCCCCAAAATATTGCTAAAATAAAATATATTAACACTGCTATCAAGTATCGACTCGTCTTGTGATGTATCTTTAAGCCTTTCTGTAAGGAATTAGAAACTGTCATCACTGCAGACCTATAATGAGTGAAACTCTAACATCTTTTCCTTTATAGTTATGTCAGGTCCCTTTATTCAATCTCTTTATTTCACTTTCTGTATTTTCTTCTTTTCCTTCTTACAATCTTAAGTCATGTTTCATTTGGAAGCTGGCCTCCTTCTGCAAATTAGCAATTAGAACAATTTTGTGGGAATATGTATATGTGTCATTAGTTTTCCTGCCAATTATTAGCTGGAGCATGGGGTCAGGCAAGAATTTTCCACTTGACTGCTGCTCCAGTACAGAGGCTTGGCTCTCGGCTCAGAGCTGCTGCGGCTCTTGGAGAAAAGCAGAAGAAAAAAGAAAGAGAACCATGCTATACCTTTGGAGCACTTGCAATAATTAGTTTACCTTGTAGCCATTACTTCTTAAATCCCACTTTCGCCTCAGCTGACCCAACCCATCCCAGCTCGCAGACCTCAGCGCTGAAACCAAAGACTCTCTTCAAAGTGCTGCCTGCAAAGACACTGTGGGTTCTTCATAACAATGGCCATCATGAACCTAATGATGGAGGTCACTCAGGCCCGGTAGTTAATCATCAGATCACCTCTGTAAGCACTTCCTAATTAGAGTCCTCACGATACAATTCCAGCTTGTAATTAGCCCAGATTGGCTTCTTCCTGTGGCTTCCTTATTAGCAGGGCTGCTCAGCGGTAGGTGAGAATCAACACTGTCATTTTTCAGCGCTGCACCGGACACCCATCTCTCCTTCACATCTCAGTGCCCAGGAGTGGGCCCTAAGCCGTGTGTGGCTGAGGTGGCAGGAGGGGAGCAAAAGATGAACCGGAGAAACTGAAGGGGGGTGCAGGAGGTTGTAATCTAAAAACTAACTGGCTCTGTATGGTTTCCCTTACTTAGCTCAACCTCGTCTCCAACGTCACCTTGTCCAAGTCGGCCCCCGAGGCTTCTCCTCCTCTGAGCCTCCCACAGACCCCCACCACCCCCACGGCGCCCCTCACACCTCTCTCCCAGACCCACTCCGTCATCACAGCCAACAGCCTCCACAGCGTAGGGCCGATGCGACGGCGCTACTCTGAAAAGTACAACATGCCCATCTCTCCAGGTAGGCTGGACCTTACAACCACAATTATTCACTTCTTGTATATTCGTCATGTTACGACCCTCCAACTTTAATGTTTAACTTTTTTTTTTATGTGACAAAGAAAAATAAAACTGGCATTTAAATCTGAGCGAATACAAATCAGAGGCATCTAATTTGATATTTTGACATAAAAAAAGGTAAAAACTGACCCTGGACAAGCAAAATGTTACATGCTGGAAAACAAGGACCACCCCTATTGTGACACATGGTGGTGGCAGCATAATGCCTTAATAGTAACTTCACAAGTTATTGCAGTGCCGCATTGTAAAGCACTTGGACATGCCATGACACTTGTCAGAGTTGGCTGGTAAATAAAGATGAATAACAAACAGTGATATAGTTTAGATCATAGCAGGCTCAGCTGTTAGAACGGCCTAATCAAAGGCCTATACTTAACACATGAACTGCCCCTGGTGGTTGTATATGATTGAAGATTTAAAAAAATATTATTACCCTTCCACTTCATAGTTAATTGCTTCACCATGCAGCTTTAAAACATGAACTCCTGATAAAATGCGTTACGTTCTATATTGCTGTACAATGTGAATGTTTCGATTTTACCTGGTTTGATTTTGTTTCCTGTCTGCAGATATCAGTCAGAACAAAGAGTTTTACATGAATGCAGATGTTAGGCCACCATTCACCTATGCCTCGTTAATAAGACAGGTAAGGAAACCACCTCATATATTTTTTTATTAAGTTATTGAAATATTATTTCAGTCTAATCCCATCATTGCTTCTCATATTTTGGTGTGGTTTAGACAGACGATCTTCTGATCAATGTTCAAATAAATGCAAGAACAGACCCTGGCCTAAACACTCTCATTGACAGCTTAGTTTGATCAGGCATTTAGCCCCTGTGATTGCTAGCAAGCTCATTTTACACAACAGTAGGGATGAACCTGTTTTAAAATGGCTGCTCAATTATCGCTCCACAGCAGAAATCAAGGATCTCAGGAATTAATCTGAGTCGTCCATAATTGCTGCCCTGTAATCTGCCTGAGAAATGTTTTCCACTCGCCCTTCATTTATACCCACAAAAGGAAAATGTATTCAAATCTGCCATTTTAATTTAAAAGCTCTTCACACTTCCAGAAATAGGGAAATGCCTTGTGTTGTCTGTTTTTTTTCTCAGGAGGGAAACTCCCACAGACATACTTGGCTCTTCCTAAATTATTAATGGTTTTGCGAAGTGGGCAAAAGTGTAAATGTTTCCCTGTCACTTCTCCTCTTCCAGGCAATCCTCGAATCCCCAGAAAAGCAGCTAACACTAAATGAAATCTACAACTGGTTCACACGAATGTTTGCATATTTTAGGCGCAACGCAGCAACATGGAAGGTAAGCATTTGTTAGTTTTTTTTGTGGGTTTTCTTGAACATCTACCAATAAAGGCAGAGACTATAGAATGAAAGAATAAACCCACATTGACCCAGATTGTTGAAACGCACCACCTTATCCGTCCAGGAGAACCGTTTTCTTTAAACATGCAAACAAAACCTGCATTTAGGAAATGGGGGAAAATAAATCAGTGGTCTTGTATAGTGTGTTGTTGGTGGGTGGCATTGGTCAAATGCTTCCCAACTTTGAGCAGCTAGTCCTCCTCCTTGGCCCCAAAAACTCACAAGCCAAGCAGAACGGCAGTGATGAAACACTCACCTCCACCGAGCCAACAACCCGGACCACGCCTCAAACATAAATACGCTCTCATACACACATACACAGCATCACCACCCTGCTCCACCCGTGTCCTCCATCAGCTCACACACTTGCTGACAGCTCTTCCATAGGGGCAACCTGGTGTTATAAACACTGGATTCCTGCTCCTGCAACAACAAAAGGATGATTTATGAACATCTGCTTTCATTATTTTTTTTTTACATCCTTTTCTTTTTGGGATTTAAACCTTGAAATTGTAATCGCTTTTCCTGGCACCCTGGTGAGGAAGTCAAAATGACCCGAAATGTTCTGGTCAGTGAAAACATTTATTTTGACATGTCTGGGTTACGGTTTAAAATTGCAACCAGAAACAGAAGATTAAGAGAACAGAAATAAGTTGTTCCTCTTTTTTGCTGTTAAATGGGTACAAATTTAGGTTTCTTGGATTTTTTTATTTCTCTTTTGAAACTATATTAGGATTGGCTATTAGAGCAGCATCCAAAACACGTTTCCCAGCCTTTTATGGACATTATATTTCATTAGTGTTAGTAAAGTAACAGTATCCTTATGTAAAGTAGACCAGAGGTTGGCATCTTCACTCCTTCATTTCTCCCTGCTACAGCGCCTGATTTAAATCACTGAATTTTCCCCACAATCGTTCACCAAGTTCTGCTGTATTCTTCTCATGACCCACTAATTAAAGTCTGGTGTACTCAAAAAAGGAAACTTCTAAGCCATGCTGAACACTGACCCTCAAGGGCAGGAACACATTTCTTAAGTTAGCGTAAAAGACTGCTAGCAGTTCTAAATGCAGCATGTAAATTGACGGATTGACATTGAACTCTCATAAAGCTAAAAATGTTTAGCCTTTATGTTATCTGCTACAAATCTTACTCTCTCTTACTTAAAGTAGCTCACAGTTTTTTTCTCTGGCAGAGATTTTGTGTGGTGTATTTACTAATCCAGAAAATATTGGTCAGACTGAGCCTCCAGAATTCATCACTGCCAATAAGAGCATCCTCTGTCAATGATCATTTTTCTGAATTATTTTTGCTCAGTCTTCTCTTTGTCTATAACTAAGTTTTATTGTACTCAATGTTTTTTTTTTTCTCCCTGTTTTTTGTTTACATCAACTGCAGAATGCAGTCCGGCATAATCTTAGTCTTCACAAGTGTTTTGTGCGAGTAGAAAACGTAAAAGGGGCTGTGTGGACAGTGGATGAAATAGAGTTCCAAAAGAGACGGCCTCAAAAGATCAGCGGGTATGTTTGGCCTCTTTAAGCCCTGACTGATGGAAAGAAGCTGCTGCCAACCACTGCCGCTCCATTTCATTGTCTGTGTGCCACAGTGTCCAAAGTTCCTGCTTGCTTTGGCGTGTCGCCCCTCCTTTCCACCCTCACCCTGCTTCTCATGCTCTCAGAAGCCTTTTGGTGATGCCTCATAACTCAAAATGGCTCATTGTGACCCTTTCCCCTCCTCCTTGTGTCTGTCTATCTGTGTTTGTCCCTCATCTGTGCTACTGATCACTGCATCTGGCTGCTGCCCCCCCACTCCATGCTGGCTTGCTTTCCCAGGGTGCCGTTCGCACCAACCTTTCCCTGCATAAGTGCTTTGTGCGAGTAGAGGATGGGTTTGGGTCATATTGGACTGTTGATGAGGAGGAGTTTAAGCACGGCCGCCACGTTCAGAGAGGCCGCCCTCGGAAATGCGCCGCAGATGAGAACTTTGAGGAGCTGATCGTACAGTAAGCACCTCAACCTGCACTGCAAACCTCCAATGCCCCCACCCTCTTCTCCTCTCAGCTCTACCTGCATGCCCCCCTCCCTTATGTTGCCATTATGCTTTTTGTGTTGAGCTCGCCATCAATCATGCTTTCACAAGATCTGCCTCCATCAACCTGTTCTTCCTTCCCATGAAAAGCTAAGCGTTGCAAACAGTTGTGTGGTATCACAGAGTGATTGAACATCTCAGAACTATAGCCTTAATATCCACATTACCACACCAGTAAATGTGTTTAGTTTGAAGTGCATTGATTTCTTTTTATGAAATCAGATCCTATATGTGAGCTGAGACATGAGTCTGTGGTTGTAACTTAATTTTTCTGTTTGCAGAAGTCCAGCACTCGTAAAGAACATTCAGACCAGCCTGGGCTATGGTCCAACTCTCTCTGCTGCCTTCCAGGTAAAAATAATAAGTGACTTCATCTCTAGCTGCCTAACTCCCAACTTCAAAAGACAGAGAGGAAGAAGTCTTTGTCCATCTTTTCTGCTCAGTCTTTGTTTTTAAGGCCATGTTCTGCTATGAGAAGAGTGATGGGCAGCTGGGGAATTGCTGACAGCTCTCTTCCCTTTCACATTTTATGCTTTTGGTTTTTTCTTTTCAGGCTTCAATGGCAGAAAACAACATACCTCTATACACTACTGCTTCCATTGGAAGTCCCACACTCAACTCCCTGGCCAACGCCATCCGTGAGGAGATGAATGGAGCGATGGACCATGGAAACAGCAACGGGAGTGACAGCAGCCCAGGACGCTCGCCCCTGCCAGCTATGTGAGTGGCGCTCACACTTTCCACCTGCAGAACAAACCGAAAAAAAAAGAAAAGCCTGGCTGCATATTTGAAGACTTAAAAAAGAGCCTCTCATCCTTTGATGTTGTCCACATTTACTCATGTCACAACCAAATCTTTCAACGTATTTCAAAAGGATGTCATGTGGAAGGTATCTATTTATTCAGGCGCCTTTAGGCTTAATAGATTTACAACCAAAAGTTCCTTTAAAACCCATCATTAAAAGATGTAAAAAGATAGATTTACTGAAGTACAGTCAGGCTGCTTATACCAGGGCTCTGCAACCTTTACAATTCAAAAAAACGTTTTTGACATCGGACACGTTAAAGCCAAAAATGCTTGCAGCTTTTTTTTTTTTTAGAGCCACAAAAATTACATTTTCTTTTTTTTTTAACAAAAAGATTACTTATTTTTCATAAATATCAAACACAGAAGATTTGTCCAAATTTGCCATTTTAAATTTCTAGGTTTTAAGATGAAGGAAAGAAAATTGCAAAAAGTAAATACATGGAGTTACAATGGTTTGCTGAAATTTGTGGAAAATTATGTTAAAATTTTTTACTACTTTAATATATATTTTTGTTAAATTTAGAGTTAATTTATTTTGGGAAATAATATAATTGGTTATTAGAGAAAATATAGTATATAGCCAAAGTGATTGAGAGCCATTGTTGAGTGTCTAAAGAGCCACATGTTGCAGACCCTGACCTAGAATGGCAGAGGGAGCATTGATCAGGTAACTCTGGAGGAGCTGCAGTGATTAATAGCTCAGCTGGAAGAGTGACAACTCTTAGTCATTAACCTCACATGCTCTGATAAAAGGAACCCAAATAGTGACACAGCATGCATGTGGAACAATGTGCTCTGGTCAGATGGGATCAAAGATGAACTTTCAGGCCTTCATCCAAACTGCAGTGAAAGGCTGCTCCTCACTGTGAACGGACTGTGGCAGCATGGTGCTGGGGGAATGTTCTTCATCCAAAGTACCATCCAGCATTCCTAGGCTTGAACAATATGATCAATTAAATTTAAAAAAAACTCAGCTGTGACTACAATGGAGGCTTGTTATACAGAGTGTTGTCTCTAAATGTTGAAAGTCATACATCATTATTCAGTTTCAGACCAATTTATTTTGTTCAAACACTAAAACTCCTAATGCTACAAATGAAGAAACATAATGAAATGGGAAAAAGTGCAAGGCGTATGGATATTTTTGGAGGTCCCAGTAGGTGTTGTCAGAACACTTATTTTGTCCACCCATAATACTCTATGTATATCTAATATATGGCAATAGATCAGACAGAAAACATTGTCAGGGGGGCAATAAATTAAATATGGAGGAATCATATTGGGGTAGGTTGTGGGGTCATGGCTAGCGCTGTGGCAGGCCTCCCAGCAGAAAAGGAAACTCCACCTTTTCAAAGCTTCCATGAGCAGAGCAGCCAGGAAGAGAAGGCAGGAGCCCCCGTGTTATTTTAACAGCAAGTTTATGAACTCTGCTTTATGCTTCCCGCTGACTGTCAGAGCCTCGGCCATAATCAGCAGCCCGGTTTGTTCAAATATTTACAAAATCTCAGACTGCAGAGTGACAGAGCGGCCAGCTCCGATGGGGCGCAACACATTCAGAAACACCTCTGAAAGAAAAACAACACAAAATCATAATTAGCCTGGAGGACAGTATCCAGGATTGTCTTGTAGGAAAGTTGTGGTCAACCTGGAAACCGCAGCTCCCCGTTCACTTGTTGTATAGGAGTGTGTGCTAAGTTGTTTGAAGCCTAAAATAATACCGCACACGCTGCATCGTTTCCAGATGTGGGGGCAGACCACCGATGAGCAGCGCGGGTAAACCTAGGGATGGCCTCCTGAAATGTGAGAGCTCAGGGGGGAAATTCTGCCTGAAAACAAAAAAAGCGAGAGGGAGAGAAAGGTGTAGTAATAAGCTCCTGGCCAAATAGGGGAAAGTGCCATCCTTAATCACTGTGAACATAGCTCTGAGCGTGGCTGTGGAACAGGAAAGGCAGAGACAGGATGGGTGTGCTGGCCTAGAGGCAGCCTGCTTCTCCCTCTGCTGCTCTGCTGCTATGTTTAGGCTGATCCAGCCAGCTTCTCTTGCTCTATTATAACCTCTAGAAGCTCAAGATACTTTTTGGTTTTGCTTTTTTCTTTAGATGCAACTTTTTGCCCTATATGATTGGAAATCAATGTGCTTGGAAAATCTTCCATTTGAATCCTTTTATGTTTTGTCTCAAACACCAAACGCAGTAGAGTAGAAAAAGAATATCTTTTTTTTTTTTCTAATACAAAGACAATTGGAAAAACAAACCATTCAAGTCAACCTGATTATAGAATCACCTTCTGCCACAATTAAATGTGCAGATTTTTATCACCATACAAAAAAGGTTTCATCTCTCCTAACATTTGTGTACTAGGTTGTAATGTTTTATGACATAAAGCCAGATAAAATATAAAATTTGGTAATTATTTGATAGGTTGCAGGGATGCTTTCATAAGGCATGTTGAAAGAAAATACATTTTTGTGATAAACAAGATGCAATATGCTGAGGAAATCAACTTATGCTTGAGTTTCTCTCCGTTTCTCTCTGACTCTTTGACTCACTTTGCTGTGAGCAGCCCTTGTGTTTTTCTCATGTACCTGTGGGCGGCTGTCTGACAGGACGCTGCTTTTCTTTCTTTTTTTTGTTTCACGGTGCAGACACCCAAGCGCTTCTCCTAAACAACGAGACAAAAATCAAGTATCTAGAGAAAACTAATAATGAGCAAAGTGTAGACTCAGCACACAGTTCAATAGCATAATAATAACAATTTCATGTCTGCCCTGCAGCCATGCAGTCAGACCTGAGGCTACGGCACTTGTGGAGTTACTTTGATGTGAAAATGATAGAAAAGCTGACTTTACTTTCCCTCCTTTTCATAATTTACACCAAAACATGGCAGCTAATTTGCATTAGAGTGCCTCCATCACAATAGTTGCAAATCACACAAGGCATCCTGGTGTGAAAAAGGAATCAAATGTGGTCTTTTGTGAAGAGCAATGTGCCAGTTGTCCCTTGTTGTTGTAGTAAATGAGCCCGGTGCCTCATCCTGACACCGCTCAGCCTCTTCTGCAGCAGCCTGGCACCGCAGGTTAGAGCAGCCAGTCCCCTGCAGCTGCTCATAATGTTTTTTTTTTTTTCTCTCTCCTCCCTGCCACCGCCAGGCCTCCTCTTCCCCTGCGCTTCATTCCTGCTCTGTTTCTGTAATGAGAAATTTGGCAGATCTCATCTCTTTAGTGTCTCTTTTGCCCAGGCTGTGAGCGGCTACAAAGAGGAGGGGGGGGCGGTTCGTGTTTTTGCCTTGTTTACAAGTGACAGCGTTATTATTCTCATAAGGGCTCTGTTTCTTATCGCCGTGTTGTGCCGAGTGCGCCGCTGCCTCTCTGCGTGCACGCCTTTCCTGCCAGCGCTTTTCTCCCCTTATTGACACTTGGTTGAAAATATGCATTAATTCTGGAGTTTAAAGCATGTATGCTGGTGTCTGGTTGCTGTGTTTGATTGAAGTTGATTAATGATAGAAGCCGGCTCGGGGTCATCCTCTGGAGACCCGCCTCGCAGGTTGTGCATGTTAACGAGCAGGAAGGGGAACACACAGTGCGTCGCTGATCCTCCGCCACCAGGAGGCTGACAACAGCAGAGACCATTCGCTCCTCGGCTCGTCTCATGTTGTTAATCTTCCTCATTTATCAATTCTAAGTGAATACCCTGTTGTCGCTTGCCATAGAAGTACAAAGCCTGCAGCTTTGCCGGGATTGGACTACCTCAAAAGAAAGCTGAAATTATCATCAGTTCCAGCAATCCCCCCCCTCTTCCTCAGAAGCCAGTCATTTGTTTTTGTTCCCCTGCCTCCTCCACTATAAACAGAATCAGCACAGGTATCACTTTGTGCTTGGTGTCAACACTCCCACGTGTTTCCGCTTTCAAAAGGGCATTCTTTCTCAGACTCCATTTTTTCCTCCTTTCTCTGAAGTGTTATAACATTCTAGACATTTAAGCTCAAATTATTAACCGTTAACTGCTTGAATAGTAACTTTAAGCATCATTATCATTTGTTTATCATTTAATACATTACAGTAAACTTTGTCCTCCTCATTTAAAGCATTATTTACATACAGTGTATTCATACCACACATATTTTGATTATCAGGGCTTCTAGTTTACATGTAGAGTCCATGTTGGACAGCGTCATGGGTTTTTCAGAGGTCCTGCAAAACGATTAAAGCATTAGGGGCGGCACGCTTTCAATATTAAATCTGAGTGTACAAAACAGAGTTGGAAAATGTGAACTTATACAGCTCAACGCAGAGCATCAGCCAATCAGAGGAACTAATTTAGGAGCTCTTTAGTGGACTGACATTACATCCAAGCTGTGGTCTCTCCTCCTGCAACTCTGTCAGCATAAAAATATTTAAAAAAAGAATAGATATATGTAATGTAAATCCGTTTATTGTCCCACAATGGGGAAATTCACTCTATGCATTTAACCCATCCCCTTGGGGAGCAGTGGGTGGCCATTGTGCGGCGCCCGGGGAGTAGTGTGAGGTTAGGCGTCCTGCTCAGGAACCCAGAGTGCAGGCTGTGGGGATTGAAGCGGGTACTTGCAGCCCTCTCAGAGCACAAGCACACTGCTATTATTATTTTTTTATGTACAAGGAAAATGTGATTGCTCTAAACATTATTACACTACCAAGTAATTTTATTATTGAACCGTGCGAAACAGTTCATAACACATACATTAAATACATTTTTAAAAAATTGCCAGAGAAAAATATTTGATCATTATATTCTACCTTTGCATTTTTTTTAATACTAACCCTAAAAAAGGCTTTATATTCACTTTCAACAGCTGCAAATAGTTGTATAATATCCCCAACAGCCAGGCAAGCTTCAGAGAGCTTTCACTGCGGACTCCCAGCTCTGTCGCTCCCAACAAGTACAAAATATTTCAAAACTAGGATCATAATCCTGATGAACTGATGGCACAAATGACGTTTTTCAGATGTAGCTTTACACTTAAAACAAAATATTTCCCCCATTCGTTAAAGCAAACAAAACCACCTGCCATCGCACTAGATACAGGAAAAGGACCAAACCTTCCCCTTTTTTCTCTCCCTGATAGTTTGAAGTCTGTCGTCCATATAAGTTTGAGGCTTCCTGCTTTGTGATTTAAAAAACTGACAGTTTCATTCCACCTTTACCCCCCATAGGCATCACATCAGCGTTAAGGAGGAACCACTGGACCCCGAAGACCATGACGGACCCCTCTCCCTGGTCACGACGGCAAATCACAGTCCGGATTTCGATCACCACAGAGATTACGATGACGACGTCGGCCATGACGACATGTTGTAAGGCTTAGGCGGTGTGGGAGACGGAATCACCAGACTGCAGTCTCAGCCACCCTGATGTCTCCCAGCTGACGTTTTAGTGCCATTACAAAACATAGCAAGAACAGTGGAGGGAAAAAACACAGAAACACCCCCCATGAGGGGGTTCTTTTGATTTCAGATGCTTTCTACCGATGATTTCAGTAAGCGCTTAAAAAGTGAAAACAAACGTCATTTGTACTCATGTGTTGGAGGGATCTGTTTGGTACCGGGGTGGAGGCAACGATGGACCCTGGCTGCACAGCCATGACGGACTGCACTCAGCAGACAGTGAGAGTGGCTCTGTATGCCCCACCCTGCCACCCTCCCTCTGAGACACACACATGTGACCATAAACTGAAGAGAGAGATAAAGACGAGACATTTAATTTACACAATGTGTGTGTGTATTTGTGAGAGAGAGCGAATGAGTTCATTGTCACTGCCTTCAACACTTCTTATTGGTTTGGTTCCATCAAAGGTGGGAGGGACTTTGTGTTTTGGTTTTTCAAGGGTTGGGGGGTCTATTTTGTTGTTTCTAAGAGGAGAGGTCCAAAAATATCAAGTTGACGTGTTCTATCCCTCATTCAGTGCTGTTTCTACATGTTGCATCTTTATTTGTGATTATTTCTTGAAACTGATCAGACCTCATGCTCGTGCTGTGGAGATTCTGTGCGGTCACCACTTGATGATGAATGTTTATGATTTCCTCTCATGCTGTCCTTTTAAAAATCCACACACGCGATGCAGAATGTCAGATACCAAGTAGTATTTTTCTGTCATTTATTCACTTTCTTTCCAAACAAAAAGAAAGAAGAAAACTCGCCCTGCTCTGCACCTCTCTCCCTCCTGCTCGTGAAGTCCATTGGCAATGCACTACTCATAATGAAGGCTCTCTCCACGCATCAATGAAGTTTAATTTAAGATGCGAATGAATGACAGAGAAATCATGCAGGTTATGATTTATCCTTATGAAATTATTCTTTAAAACAGCCCCTCACGGCAGAGCGTGCTGAACCGCAACACAATTTCTGATCACTTACAAGCTCTTGGTTCTATTTTTTATTTTCCAAAGCCAAATGAAAATGTCAGGTGTGCATCGGCGAGATAATGATTTAGACCAACTAATTGTGATTCCTGAACACAGCCGTCGTTGTTAATCAAACGCGTCTGCTTCCCCGTGCTGTTATTTCATGCAGCGCTTGAAGACAAAGCCCCGTTCCCTGTAGTTTTATTCATATCACGTGCATGACTAGCTTCGAGTTTTGAGCGTTAATAACACGCACCCCTGGTGGAACGCGAAGGGAACGACTCTGACAACGTTTCACATTCCAGAATTTGACAGCAAATATCAAACTGTACGCTGATGACTGTTCAGTGTCTCCCCCAAAATTAAGAGTGGACTTGTGATGCAGCAAAGAGAAATTCCAGCTTTCCTATTTTGAAATAGGAGACTATTCATTTCAAAACTGCAATCAACCACTTTAAAAGATCTTATTTATTCTCAGTTTTATGTTTATTTTCTGTTCTTTTTGTCAATATGTTTTACTATCTTGTCTTGACAACCAAAGATAAACTACAAAGTCAATGTTGTTTGTTCTAAGCAGGCATGGGCAGGTAACTGGGAACAATGTGTGCCGAGGTTCATAAAACCAGCTTATATTTACATAATAATTTTAATAATAAAAAAAAAAAGTCCAATCAAAAGTCACAAGTAGCATTTTTTGCTGACTGCTTTGACGCTGGCTGAACTACAGCCATGATGCATTTCTCATTATCGCTAAGACTAATTGGCTTTACTGTCAACATTTTTTTGCAGTTCAGTTTTAATCAGTTATAAAATATATTTTTGCCTAAATTCCAGGAAAAGCGTAGAATTACCAGATTGAGACTCACACCGGCCCATGCCTTGTTCAATGCAATAGCAAAAACGGCCAAATATGTCTTCTCCATTCGCTCTGCTATCCGACCATCTCGGCAGCACTGACAGATGGAGTCAGAAAAAAAAAGAAACACTTCTCAAAGTGATGTTTTTATTCTTTTTTTCTTATTATTTTAAACCAAAGGGGTTGATTTAAATAGGAGAGCTGCGGTGATGCTTTGCAGTGACCAAAACTGAACCGGAGGAGCTGACAGGGTGACCACATGACGACCAAAATCAGAGAAATCTTTAGTCTTTGGGGCCAGTGAGTGGGAACAAGACAAAGGCAGGAGGTTTTTGGTCTGGAGCAGGTTTCTGTGCTGAAAAATAAAAGCTAATGACATAAAGCATACTGGTCAATGGAAAACAATGTGAACGAATTCATGTCTCAACTGGACCACACAGTGATTCTTTTCTTTTATTCCTTCCTCTTTTTGTATCCTTTAAAATGATTGTACACCACTTTAAAATTAATTTTTTGGTCAAGACCTTATGATTGTGTTTAGTTTCTGTCAACTTATTGCTTTTTATATTAAAAAAACACTCCTGTCAACTAATAAGCTGGGTACCAGGTACTTCATGGTAGTTTTTACTTGTGTCCTGTTTAAGGTCACTGCTCATTGACTAAAAGGAGAAAGCCCATCTGCGGTTTTCCAGAAGATGTATTTAATATCAAGGCAGCTGTGGGACGGGTCAGTTCCAGCCGTGCTGGGATCGTGAGAACGGGTCCCGGCTCATCCACAAAGCCTCGGCCGTCGGGCCGATTTGTTTGGTATTCGTAACAAGTAGGGGAAAAAAGCACTGTTAGATTAGATCACTCTCGGCATGTGTTGCTTGACATTACTAAAGATAACAGCATGAGAAAACGGTTAGGACGCAAACCTATAGGGAACGATTGGGTTCAGTGAGAAAAATAAACATTTCACTCGGTCGCATTTAGCCGTGCGGCTTGCATGTGTAGACTGATAATGTAGGGAAAAAATGACCAAAAAGGAAAGAAATCTGATCTTCTTCACACTGACGGTTCTCTGGTTTTTAAAAAAAATATATATCATTTAATGTGAAGCATCACCAAGCTGTGTGGCATTGTTTGTCCCGTCGAAGGCTTTTCCTCTGATGTGCCGAAGGGTTGGTTTAAGGGAGCTTCAGCTTCCTTTTTTTTTCTTTTCTCTCTCTGAAGATCACACCATTTGCTTCATGGCGTCTGCTTTGTATTAAGTATGGGGAAAAAAAATGAACTACTGTATGTATCTGAAAAGAAAATTGCTGCAAATGTATTTTACTTAATAATCCTTGCTTTACAAAATGAAAGGGGGAAAAAAAATAGCATTTGGGTAAGGGCAGAGGAGTTGTCCCAGATTTTTGGGATTTTAACCTGTATTATAGGAAACAGACTTTACTCTGTTATCACTGACCTGAGCATTTTGTACAGATTTCTGTCCCTGTTTGTGTTAAGATGTTTTTTGATACTTCCTTTAGATGGTCCAACCACTGCCTTCTGTGGCTGGATGTTAGAGACCACCTGCTCACAGATGGAGGTACATTGCATGACTAATCCCAGAGTCAGAGATTGTGGGGGGGTGGGGCGTGGTCAGTAATAATATAAGGGTGTATCAATCTAATGATATTTTATATGAAATTATTTGAAAAAAGGAAGTAAAGTATGCAGTGCCAAGGTGTAAAGACTATTGATAAAAGCTCTTTTTTTCCGCCCCCTTTTACGAATCTTTTTCTCCCTTACATCAAAGATGTTTCCACTTTTTCGTATTTCCTTTTTTCCCCTAAAGTGGTCATTGTCAGAGTCAAACCAAGCACAGCAGGTGGATCGCAGGCTTTATGCTGTTGGAGTATAATGCTCTTTAAACTGCACATCCCCCTAATTTCGTAGACACAAACACTGAAAATGCCATGGCTTCATCCATCACCGCCATCCGGCCTGCCATCATTCCGTCCCCCTCTGTTCTTCTGCTCTCAGATCACACTTTTGTTTAAAGACGGAGAGAAAGAGGAGCGTGGGGGGGCTATCACGGTGCTCTCATCCTCCAGGAGCTTTTCACTTTTCTTGTTTCCTTTTCAAATGTTCTCTGGAGTTTAGCTTTTTTTTCCACCCTTATGTTGTTTTAAAATAGAGAAATATGATTACTCATCACCTCCATGAGTCTGTAACCTCATCATTCCTCGTCTTTTGGATGCCAACCACTCTGTTGTAGTCAGTGGGAATGACTGACGTGAGCATTCTAAACATGCAATAAAATGCTGGTTGTTCAAACTGTTCTCCCTTGTTTGGTCAATTATTGTTCCTTATCCTAGTTTGAGTCTGATTAAGTTCCTGTTTTTAAATAAATGTAATACTCTTCTTTTTATGCTTCTTGAACTTTGTTGCATTTTGTCAGATTATTATTAGAGCTGCACAATATTAGGAAAACCTGAGATATTATAGCTGGATGTATTTCTCTTTTGGGTTACATCAAATATTGATCCCAGATAGTGATATAATCCAGCTACTGGAAGAATGAAAAAAAAAATCTTATTTCTATCTAAAAAGCAAGGTTTGATTAAAAGTGCTGCTTCTTGGCAGCATGTACTGTTTTGCTAATGACACGATATTGTTTTCTCTTAATGACCACCTTAAAGCTTCCTTACTTTATGAAACATTTTAGGTTTCTCCAACTTTTTCCCCAAAATAAAGCGTTAGTTTGCGTACCTATATAATCAGTAAACAGTTGGGTACTTTCAGACTTTTTATGATAAGAGTACAGTGCGCAGTGATTTCACCAAAAGGATAAATGGGCTAGATATTGTGCTGCAAACTTAATTTATTTTTAGACCACCACAAAGATGGTCTTTGTGGAAAGAATTGATCATCTAAAAATTTTTATTTTTTGAATAAAAATCAAAAATTTTAACAAGCATATTTTATTTCAGTCTCTTTGATACTAATACCTCTAAATAAAATCTAATATTTTAAAATGTCTTCAAGGTCTTGAGCTAAATAGTAAACACATTTGTTGATTTGGGGGTGTTTTCAAAGACTGTTTTAGATTTGAACTTTGGCTAGGCCATTCTAACAATATATGCAATAATAAATATAGGTAAATGCAGAGGCACTTTTAATGACACTTCATAATTAATTATAATATGCATTTTAAATATGTGCTTCATTTTAACCTAGAACTTAAAAACTCAGTCATAGTGATGAACAGAGATGTCCTATTAGTCAGACAAGGAGACTGTGAGGTCTGTCACTCTGACCAGCATGGCTGCCTTCCATATAATATTAAAGATAGAGATGCTTTATGTTTGCCAATCCGTACTGCATTAAATGGGACAGATAGAACTACTGAACCTTCTTATAGTGAACATATAACTTAGAAATTTCAAAATTCAAAACATCTTTAGCTAACAGTTCATCCAGAAAGCCTTCACCTTTACTCCTTTACGACATTTGATTATCCAGCCTTATCCCAAATGGCTCTAAATTAATCTCTGTCCTCAAAATTGTCCAAACAATACCACATTATTCCAGGATACCACGGATCCAGCCTGAAGTCTTTTGAAATATGGAGTTTAGCACGCTTCTCTTAAGGCAGTTTGGCTTATTCTCCTAGCAGTCCGTCTCAAGCTCCACCTGTTGAATGGTAGGCATATAGCATAATGCTGCCACCACTATGCTTTACTTTTGGGCTGGTATTAAACAGGGCCTGGTTCTCTCCAAACACAACATCTGGGATTCACAACAAAGATCCTTAATTATTTTCCCATCAGACCAGAGAAATTAGTTCATTTTCTGAGATTCCTTCAGATGCCTTTTAAAAAACTCCAGAGAGGCTTTTATGAAAAGCAAACCTGCTTTACAGGTCTGATGGGTAGATTGCTGCAGAGATGGTTGTCCTTCTGGAAGCTTAACTGGTTTGCAAAGTTAAAATCTGAATTTGATACATTGTGTAAATTTATCTCAAGAGTGAATTTTAAGTTTTTTGTTATGATTCTGGCCCATCTGCCTGTTCTCCTCTCCCTGTGTGCAATAAATTCCAGCTGCTGCACTGCCGTGCAATCAGCAGCATGTCTCTCAGCTGTGCTCCAGCAGTTATAAGTCAGCCTGTGGCAGGCAGACGGGGCCAGATAATTGCAAGCCAACAAGCAAGCAGTATCCCGCACTTTACGTTAACCTGACCAAGTTCTTGACCACGTCTTCACTTCACGGATTTTCCCTCTTACTTAGCCCTCAACTACAACGCTATTACTGCCCTTTGACTTCTGCCTCCTGCCAAGCCCCCAGATCCAGGACCTTGATCCAGCCTCTGCTCCAAGTGGTATACAATCATTTTAAAGGATACAAAATGTTTTCCCTGGTCATTGGTGGATGCACTCCTGAAGTCCTGAGTTCAGAATAAACGGTCCAAATTCTATTCCTGTGTTTCTGGCTAAAATGTTGGGTCTTCTGTCTATCCTTACATTTTTACTCCATCTTGATGGTGTTAAATTCAAGATTTCTCAGTTCCAACAAGATTTGGTTGTTTCCCCCTTTCAGCCTAAAGCCCATAAATTAAATCATAATTAAAAAGACAGTTTAACTATCATTTCTGATCAGCAATTTAGGTAACTGCCTCTGATACGCTGTAAATTTAAAATGCATTAGAATTGCAGAAATAATAGCAACATGAATCTGGAAGGTGAAGCCGACAACGTGGACTCTGAGTCTTTTTTTATTATTATTTTAATGACAGAGGGGCAGGGTCACGTTAGCTACTAAACAAGAGACAGAGATCAACTCTAAGCACTTTTAATCTTGTGAAACAACCAATTACAAATAGTTGAATTGATTTGTTAAAAAGCTTCTGGTAGCATAAATCGTTGCTTGCTTAGCTTCTTGCTGGAAAACATAAATGTCAAGTGTGTTATTAATAAAGAGCAGTGAGAGATAAGATTTAATGGAAGAGATATAAAATCCCAAGCATTTTTTTTTCTGGACAGCAATATATTAAACAGGACGCTGCAGTTCTTATGCATCATTGTTGTTTTCATCCCAAACTGATAAAGTGTATTGCAGCACTGACCTTATTTGTAAACGCTTGAAGACATTATGTGGCTCCCGTTGTACGCTGTGCTTTGTGTTGAGGTCTAGATCAAGCCAGAGGTATATTTGCTCTTCTTAAGTCCTAAGGCCTCCTCCTCTTCGGTCAGTTAAAGCCCAAAAGACTTCCTGATTGACCTTCTGTGTTTGAGACCTGCTCTCCATAAAGATGGATGAAATATTGGATGAGTAATTCTGAAGCAGTAAGTAAAAGCTGCTCCCACACAGATAAATCTGTATTTCTTGGCAGACTGTCCCATTAGAGCATCCAGGCCTGAATTTAGAAACTGGCAAAAAAACAAAAAAGATTTGCTATATTAAATTATTTTGTTCAAGCATCTGTTTCTGATGCTTGTGATGATGCATTTTTGCTGTTATAATCTAACCTTTCTGTAGCTAATATTAAGACAAACCTTTCCGTGAAGTGGCCGCTCACAACTTCAGAGTTTGGAACCAGGATGTGGCTCCATAGAGGCTGGTGGATGTTGCCATGGAGAGAGATACTTTTTTTTTGTTTCAATGTAAATAAATGTGAGTTTTGTTGTGCTCAAAACGCTTCTCCGGATGCAGCGTCCTGTTTATGTTCACACAGAGCAAAAAAAAAAAACCTTTCTGTTTATGTTTCCTCTGCTAAGATGAAAGCCTGTGTTGAGGTGGAGCCCTGGAATAACTGAAGATGTGTGGATCATGTTAGATGTTCATTTACTTAGTTCTTTCCTTTCACATTGCTAGCAGCTTATTTAGAAACAGAAAGTCAGAACATCCCTGTTTCTCTGGAAGCAGCTTGACTGAACCATGAACCTAATTGGCAGCACAGCATGCTGCCAAACAGACTACAGGTATTTGGGTTAAAACGGATATAGACTGTTTAAGCATTGCTCCAATACTTTATGTTTAGTTTTTTCCTCTTGGAGTTTGGTGAAGGTGTTGATCTTCTCAACTGAAAATTTAAGTTTTTAAAACATTAATAGGTGCATTTTCATGTGTAAAGCACGAGAGGGGAGTTCAGAGGGTTAGCCTGTCCAGATCATGACAGCTCTTAGAACTGATTCCTGAGTGGTTCGATGGGAAATCAGCTAAAAAAACTGTTTGCCACAACTAAACACAACTAAAGTGTTTAGTTGTGTTTGTGGCTGCATAGGGTATATTTTAGTGATTTCACATAAAGAACAGCAGATATTGAAGATTTGATAAACACCATGTGCAATAATCCTGTATAATAATCCTGCTAGGAAAAAAAAGCTGTCATATGTGGACACACTGTATATACTGTTTATATCCCATGCACCTTTTTTCTTCCTTTGGCAGATGATGTAATAAGTAAATTTCAATACACTGTCACAAGTACAGAGCAACGAAATTAACTCTCTGCATTTAACCCATCCTCTTCGCGAGCAGTGGGCTGCCTTTGTGCGGCGCCCGGGGAGCAGTGTGGGTAAAGAGTCTTTGCTCAGGGACCCAGAGTGGCAGTCTGTGGGAGTGGGGCTCAAACTCGGAACCTCAGGATTCAAAGCTCTATGCCAGCTGGATTGATCAGGTAGCCCCCTCCTCCAAACATGCATGGCCCGAGAATGTCTCCATTTTCCCACTGACCTGTTTTTGCTTCTGCAGCCACCAAAGCCACCTTTCTTCCGGCCATCCTGTACCTGTCTGCTGTTTCTGAACTTTCCAAAGCCAACCAAGGCCTAAAGGCCTAATCTATCTGTATTAGTCAGCAGGGACAGAGCAGCCTACTGTATGATGTAAGGGTGCTAGATTTAGCCATGCAAGCTAATTATCATCTGTTGTTCCTGGCAGGTTGATGCTATTATACATGATTAAATCGGTAAATCTAGACTTAAGCCAAATGACAAAACTTTGCTGTTGGAATTTAAATTGCGTAGTTATTTTCTGTTTGTTTTCCAATGTGAAAAAACATCTTAAAAACAAGCAAAGCTTCTTATTAATTGTGTTGTTTTTGCAAACTTCATTGCCATCCTTATTAGTGGCTATCAGGGTATATTTTAGCCATTAATCAGAAATGACGGTGTTAACCTGAAGCCGCGCTCCACTGCCCCACCTCGCCCTGCAGACACCCGGTAGATCAGTCATATTGCAAAGCTCCCGTGTGATTGCAAAAACAAACGTGGCTGACTGCTGCTCACTTCATTCTAATTAAAGCACGGCACAGCCTCATCCATTCACACAAGAGCTTCAGTCA